ATAACTTTAATAGCATTAATTAGGATTGTCTCCCTTAGTTTATAAAGCCTATAGCGTCGCAGCGTTATAAGAAAAGCTAGGTCTATAACTACAGCTAGCGCGTCGCGCTGCGAAGCAATCCTCAACGCATATATTTTGTATGCTGCTATTATTACAAGCATAAGCTTATTAACCTTAGCGTTACAAAGGTATACAAAACAACAAACTTAACGTCTTCTGCCTATTAACACCTTAGAGAGAAGAGACGCAGCTATAGCTACTAACTACCTCACGTAACAGCTCGTTCTACAACAATAAGTGTCCTCTAACAAGTACTTACTAGCAATCAGGTTAGCTAGAGTATTGCGAACGAGCTCTCTAGCTTTAACTCCTAGCGCTTTTAGCTTAACGCAGTTAGCTAGCTTATTAAAGCTAACCTCTTACTGTCTACGTTTAAATCGCTAGCTTTTCGATAATTAATATTGTTAGCTAACGTCTAAGCAGAAGCAGCACTGTAGACGTCTTACAATAGCGTCTCTTGTTACGTTATACGCCTGTACAACTACTTACAGCCGCAAGTCGTTACAGAACTATTGCGGGTACAGAGTAAGATACACATAAGTTTTAACAGCTAGACGACAAAGAGTAGCAAGCGTAGGTTCTTAGGTATTGTTGCCTACTACGTTAATAAGCAAGGCGATATTATAGACTTACCTATTGCGCTGCCGCAGTTAACAGGCGCCTACAGTAGACATAGAATAGCAAAGGTTGTTATCTAAACGTTAAAAGAGTTTAGTATAAACGCTTAACGTATTAGCTACTTTGTACTTAACAACGCAAGCAATAACAACACTGCGATAAACGCAATTGCGCTAACAATAGGCTTTAACCTACGCTATCGCCGCCTCTGTTATAGTCCTTATACAATTAACCTTGTTAGCTAGATGCTCCTCTAGGGAGAAAACAGTGCCTTATACAACAATAATACTGCTAAGATTACTGCTAAAAGCAAGTATATAAGCGAGTAGAGGCGCGATAGGCCCTTAGGCGTACTCTTAGGTATTGTTAACTATATTAAAACACTACAGCAATACGCTCTTTTTGCTAACTTTTAGCGCCTTGCCTATCGCGAGCTACTAGCTAACGCACCTCCTAATAAACGCAAGATCCTTAAGCCTGTTAAGCCTGTTATTACACGCTAGAACTCCTTCTACTCGTGCTTTAAGCGCGCTGTACAGCTTTAACTAGCAATTAACGCGTACGCTAGCTACTATATAAAGCGTATACAGGACGAGAATACCTACGCTAAGTCGCGGCGCAACAAACTACCTTACGCGCTACACTAGATAAGATTAGACAGCTTTACAACGCACAATTAAGCAGTAGTTACAGAGTATATAGACGCTTTAAAGCTGCTAAAAGCTGCTACAAAGCGCCTTAAAGGGCGCGGCAACAGTAGGAAGTTTAGCTATATCGCTAAAGTTATCCTAGTATTTAAGTATATACTTAACTACTACAAATCGCGCGTACTAGCTTACGAGGCTGTTAAGTATAACGCCTACAACAAGGCGCCTAAAGACCACCTTGCGATTAACATGCGCGCAGCGTAGGCAAAAGCTAGCGAGTATTACTCTAAATTAGACCTATCGCCCGCCTACTACGCAGCTACAATACTCTACCTATATTACTAATCGTATTGCGACAAATCCTAAGGTACTAAGAAACCTAGCTAGCTTAAGTCTAACAACCTTAGTTTCCGCAGCTTATAAGCTTAATATAATACTAGTTAACTAGCTGTACAACGCCTAAAGGTACTATCGAACGATATAGACAACGCAATTAACAGCATTATTAATCCTACAACTGCTAGCAACAGCGACGAGGCAGCTAACGACGAGTATACCTAGTAGAAGCTGTGCGAGCAGCGGGTAGAGAAAGGCAGCGAGTACGCTAACAACCTAATAAAATACTAGTTATTAATGCGGGATCGCTATCCTTAACTTAGCAAGCTTGCGCTTAACGTACTGTCTATCCTAGCGTTGAGCTGCGAGTGTAAGCGTATGTTTAGCGAGTTAGGTGATCTCCTAGAGCCTCGCCGACAAGGTATACAACTACGACTTCTAGCGGCAATACAGTGCGTACGACAGTAGCGTACAGCTAGTCTAAGCAACAATAAACTCAACAACAGAAACTCTATAACTAACGATAAGATAGAGGCGTTGTACGGCGTAAGCGCGTAGAACGTTAGAGACAGCAGCAATACTAACAGCGATTTAGAAACTTAACTCTAAAAAAAGTCACGATATAGCTAATACTACCTATTTGTATAGCCTTAAAAACGCTTTAACTATTAAGCTAATTAAGCTAAACAATCAAGCTAGCTTGTTTTAACCTACTAAGCTAATTAAGCTAAGCTGAAGTAGAGGCACCCAACAATCAAGCCAAGCTGGGGTACCCAGCTTGCTTGGCTTGATTGTTGACAAGTCTGCCAAGAAGTTACTTAGTCGTTCCTGTTATATCCTTTGTATCGTATCCGCGCCAGTGACTTCAAAAAAGAACATCCGTGTCAATTGCAGAGGTAGTGACCACTTGTTGAAATCAGAAACAGGTGGAAGAATGACGCCACGTACATCTGTTCAGCTCCTGGTCGTTGCACTCGTCTACTATAGCAAAAGCGATTCGCAACTGGATATTTATCAGCCATCGCGGTGGTTCAGTTGAGTAATCACTCATGTGCTAAGGCCGTTAGTAATCTCTCTCTGCTCTAGGATGTCGGCAGCGACAAAGTTGCCGACAGTCAAGTGGCCAAGAGTTGCTGATCCTTTAGTGCTTACTCTGTACGGCCCTTTTCTCCCCATTTCTCACCATCGCACACGTTATATCCGACCGGCAACATCGATTGAAATTCGCAAAATACTGTGTAGACTTCAATCGTGCTGCGGAGTCCTGGATATCCCTTGAGACCTCGTAGCACAAGAGCCTGTCCACCTTTTGAGCCAGATTCATGCCGCTTTTGGCGTCCATCGGATCGTCATCGCCATCCTATCATGCCCCAACACGGACACGTAAACCGCCGAGTCTACATAAATGCGCAGGATTCACTTCTACTAAGAACCTTTCGTGATCGTTAGCTAACCTGACCTGCTATTGCTGTACCATCTAATTATCTGTATAGCGTGTTGATGGTCCGTAAGAGATAGTGGAAGGCCGTGTTAGAGCACGGCGACTCCAGTTAGAAAGGTGATGGTGAGCCAGAGGTGAAGTCACATCACCGACATATCCACGCGAGATGATATAATGCTTTTGCCGTTATGCTTGGGAGCAAGTAGTATGGAGGCATCATTATACGCAGATCTGTTTTGATGATCAATGCTGCTACCACTCCATCAGTCTAGCTCGTCAGAGTCAATATGATCGCCAAGCTGCTCTTGAAACCACTGTCCGTCTGCAGTCAAGCAAATATCCCTGGCATCATCAGATAAACTTGGCAACGAGACCGATGAACGGGCATGTGAGAACTCATTGTTGCTTAGATTGAGTCCTGTTACTGCCTTCTAGCCCCGGAATGGCCGACTTGGGCCGTCCGGGAATCTCCATCCTGTACCGAAAATCTTCGGACTGCGCAACGAATGCTTAGATATCATGTGACTCCGAGTCTCTGGTCGCGAGAGTGAAATTAATCAAAACAGGAGCTCGATTTTTCAATCGAGCAAGGTAGATCATGTAAATTGGGGCCAAGACACGTGCAAGGGCTAGTACATGGTTCGGCCACTACAGGAAACGCTACTCAATTCTCCGTGGGGTATGCGTCCAGATGTTCAAGCCAGTCTTGACTCCTGCTATAGGTGGAAGCCCAGCATGAAGGGTTCTTGGGTCGCCAGCCCCTGCGTTATCGAGGTTTTTCCAAAACAAAGCATTTCCTGGAATGGGTCGTATAGTAATGCCCTCATGGTCATTACAATCAACAAATTGACACCATTTCGTATCCTCTTTCGACCAATCGATTCTCAAATCTGGGAATCTTGTTCCACACGTCTCGCAAGTTGCCTCAAGAATGGCGAAAAAGGTTGTAATCCGCTGCGTTTCGTTCTCTGGCACTGGCTCAAACTGTCTATGATCCCAGTGAGGTTTGAATTCTTGGCCGGTGGAATATCTTGTCATCTGAAGTGGTTCATGATCTTCCAAAGACGAATAGCCTTGGAAAGAGGAGGCACGAGATATGATTCGCTGGACTATCGGGTCCGAGCTGTTCAAAACAGCAGTGGAACTCGTTCGCTCATTTGAGATAGCTGAGTTGTTCCCGATACCGACTGTTGACCTCATAAACAGGTTCTCACTGTTCAATGTCAACATGTCATAGGCTCATATTTGGCTAACGACATACCCTGCCTGAAGGAGATGATTTCTTTCATATTTTGGCACAAAGTCTATTATGTAGATCATCAAAGGGTCGAAGGAGAGTATTCGTACCGAATACGCGTCGTTGTACTGCGGCCTGAGGATGGATAAATGGAGCTGTGGCCAGAAGAATGCTGCTAGTATAGAGAGAACGCAGCAAGTTAGCGCTGCGCGACTGAGAGGATTGAACCACGCCGGAGAATACATCGTGACTGGACGAAACATATCGAATGCTAAAGGCTCACTTCAAGGGATGAGCTGGTTTCGAGTTCTGTTTTGACATTGCCTCGTTATTCAGAGGAACAATGTGGGCGATGTACAACCGTACAACACCGTGACTAAGTCGAATCGGACCGCGGAATGAACTCGTTCCGCAATGCCTGAATCGGAAATAATGTCATCAGAAGGGCCGCAGAGTAGTCATTCTTCAGGATATCCATAAGTCGTGTACATGAAAAGAACAAGGCTGGGGTTTCAGGACCTTACGTAGTGCTGACGGACTGGATTGAGGCCAGTTCCTGACTCGTAGTGGCTTTCAAGTATATAAAGTACAAATGTTATCATACATTCGATACTGCCCTCAACTACCCCTTCCATCAAGTTACTTCCAATCAACTGTCAAGATGAAGTTCGCTCTCGTAACATTCGCTCTCTTCAGTGTAGCACTGGCTGTGCCAAACTCGCAGTACGTCGCACGTGAGGCTCAACGAGGCCCCGTTCGGCCGCCCGGCAACACTTGCTCTATCACAAATGGCTGCAGAGTTGTAAGTTCATAGCTCATAATTTTGTATCGCAACCTGCTAAGATATTGGACTTTCAGGAGGGAACCACGTGCATCTGCCCCTAGGATTGATCACAGCATTCACTCAGACTCCTTGTTTAACAAACGGGTTGGAAAGATGTGCGATTACTTGACAGCAATGAAACGGCTGGTGGAGCATATAGATCAAGCAATATGAAACAATTTTGCAGGGTCAATCAAAGTCCATAGTCCGCAAACACTATCATGTCGTCAAGGACCAAGCATCATGTTGGTAACGGCCGCCCAGCACCCTTGTGCCCCTTTTGAGTAAGCCTGATGATTCATGGTTCCCATTGAATGAAGTCTTCTTAACGCGGCAACTCGGCATAGTTAGCCTCTTGCAACTGATGTCACAGCGAGTTAGGTAGAACAAGATTATGACAGGGTATATTGGTTCTTGTTAGATACGCTACATGACCTGGAATGACTCCTTACTCTGTGCATTGCTGCGGTGTTCAGACTTAAAGTTGAGCTGACCTGTTACGACAATCACATCCTTCCCTTGCTGTTGACTAGTAGCGCCTTGCATTTGTTGAAGCCTTAACTGTTCTCCATTTAGGATATGCTCTTCGCTATCGTTGTCAAAAGTCAGATCTGTAGTGTTGCGGCGTACCCTGTGTGGCGCCGCTCGGCTGATTCTCGCGACACCTAAGCCACCGTCACCGAAGCCACCACCTATGGTTCTGAAGTCAATGCCTGGAGGCGGCTTTTGTGGCTTTGAATTGCTCGATCCGATCGTACTGGACAGGAAAGGAGCGAACCAGTTCTTGAGTAGGGGAAAGATCATAGGCAGATTGGTGGTGAAGATGGCGATGAAGGTTTCACGAGTGCCCCAAGACGCTGTGAGCTCGGCGCTGTTATGGGGATCCTAGAGGGAAGTCAATGTCATTATCGCGAAAACAGCGTTCAGTGGAGAGTTTCTTACACTGATGAGATAGAAGCTCTTAACTACCGCGCACACGATCACCAGCATGCCAGCGCCAAGTACTATCATGGCCGCTATCTTCTTGTATCTCTTCATACTCGACTTCCATAACATCGGCATTGGTATCAACAGCAGATATATGTCAGTGAGTACGTTGAAAACGAATGTTACCCAAATGAGATTCTTCGATACCGCTGCTGTACATGTATTTCCTGGATCCGGATTGATTTGCCAGTAATGGTGAAAAGGCCGGCAGGAAAGATATATCGTGAAGATTACGGCGATGAAGCTAGTGACAATGAAAACGAAGGCGACACAAATGCGGGTCGTATACTTATAGAGACCGTTCTATGTAATGATCGTAAGTCTAAGCTCGTGCATAAGATGCGATGAACACACATACTGTAAGACGAAGGTAGAAAAGTGCGACGCAAAGCTTGAGTGACCAGAGCAGACATGCGGCGGTCGTCCATCCTGCTACTTGGATTTTAGATCCGGTAACCCTGGAATTACATTAGCTACAAAAAAGAATGTTATTGCACCTTTGGCACTTTGCACTGGCGCTTAAAATACCTCATGCCATACTCGGGATCGTCTCGCGAAAGCGCACTGCGCTCATGAGGTGTCATGCCATCATTTGCGAAACCATGAACATATACTCCCAGGCTGTACCCAAGGCTGCACTGAGCTGTATAAATGAGCTGGCGATGAGGCCGTTAGCAGAGCTCGACAAATAGTTGAGAATGATTCTAGTTACTCACGATCGCAATCCATACGAGATAGTCGTCAACTTGAAGTTGGCGATAGCCTACGGCTGATAGCCTCGCGTATGTGCGCAAGAACGTGAAAGAGACGGCGAATGCATAAAGAGTCCACAGTTCCACAACACCCATGACGACACTTTCTGGAACAGCGTGCTCGGTCACAACTCAGCAGCAGTAATGCCATCGATCTCTAGAATCGAACTAGGTTGGAGAGCATGGTGGCGGCACCGGATATATATCCCCTACCTCCCTGTGTTCGCGACAAGCCACAAACACTAGTTGAATGAGCATATCCTTAAGCTAATTGCATCTCTGTGATCCGGAGTCACATTTACCGCCAAGCTTGAGTTTGCGGGCCGACCCTATGCAAGGCGTAGTTAACTTAACCGCACATTTGTTGGCTTGACATGCGGTATATCGAAAATGCGGAGCAGGTCGTGAAGGCGCGTCAGCGGATACGATACTAAAGCGGGCAATGACCTCTATTAGTAAACCCTGTTGAATTCGACGGGCGACTGGCCGGGGAAACCAGGGTTTTGCATGGAGAAAAGACCGTGTTCTTGGATCCGTCCTTGCCGCGAGACATCATACCTAGGCACTTGTATTTTGATGCTCTTGGACTCGTGATGTCTCCTACATGCCTTGCGCACTATTCTGCGCGATTTGAAGCATCCAAAGTGTATTCGTTCAGTTCTCCGTCAATTTTCGAAATACTGATGAAGTCCTGAGAAGCACGAGACGCGCGGTCGCATGGCGCAGTCAATTGCCGGCGGCAAAACACGCATCTCTGGGCTGGTGTGTGAACTGCTCAAGCTATGGGGCTGTCTGAGCAGGACAGGACCGCCGCGCAGGCAATAGCCCGGGGAAAGCGGCTGTTATTGCGCAGGCGGTTGGCGGTGCGGCTCGCGGGATCTTGTCCGAGCGCCGAGCCAATCGCAGTAATGCCGGACCTCACGGGGGGACCTACCAGTCCGCTCGATAATATGCAGGCGCACGACTCGCAAATCTTCACGACCCTCGTAGGATCGGATTCGCACCAATTGTGTAACTTCAGCTGCATGCTCCAATCTATGCTGTCCCGCCTCCACGACGTCTGGACCCTGAAAATAAGGCCGCCGTAAGGCGGTGCGGAAGTCTTCCTCATCCAGCATGGTGCTTTTAGCCCTCGATCAGTTATTTTGTTTTATTTGAGAAGGCTTGAGCCACTTCAGCACATTGATAGCCTGCATTCGTACCTCGCAGCAATTGGCACAGCCCTACCGGCGACATGTATCCAAGCGTTCTGACACCATTGGCTATTGCAGGCTGGATCTTGACCTCATTCGCGCCAATCGTTTTAGCAGGTCCTACTTCGGCGTTCGACATCTTTTCCAGGACCCCTGCATCAGGCGTCGATGTGAAGGCACTGGCGCCGTACCTTTCCGCCAACGCGAAAATCTATTTACCGGGCACCAAGGAGTTCGCTACTTACACTACTCGATGGTCCGATCTGGAGGCTCCCACGCCCAACGTGGTAATTGCTCCAGGTACCGAGAAAGACGTTCAAAAGATTGTGAGTTTTGCGATGGGCGTATCAGTGTATAAGCAGGCAAGAACACACCTAATGCTACGTGCTGCAGGTCAAGTTTGCCAACGACTTCAACATTCCGTTCCTCACCTACAACGGCCATCATGGGACACTCACAACCTTGGGAAAGATGGACTATGGTATTGAGATCTATCTTCCTCAATTGGACTCCTTCTTGATCGCCAAGGACGGAAAGTCGGTGACTGTAGGCGGCGGTATCAACGTGAAGAATATGACGGATGCTCTTTTGGCCGCTGGGAAGCAGACTGGTAAGCTCGGTCTTCGCACTCATGGTCATCTTGTCATGATCTAACAATGCTTAGTAACTGGATGCTGCGAATGCGTCAGTTATCTGGGACCCGCCCTCGGTGGTGGCCACGGGTGGTTTCAGGGTCGCTACGGCCTAATTGCCGATCAGTTTCTTTCCATGAATGTCGTACTTGCGAATGGTGACTTGAAGACAATCGACAGCAAGTCTGACTTGTGGTGGGGTATGCAAGGAGCTGGACACAACTTTGGTGTCGTCACATCTGTTACCTCTAAGATTTACGATGTTACACATTACGATTGGGCGATCGAGACCATCGTATTCAGCGGTGATAAGGTAGAGGAGGTTTACGACGCTGTCAACAAATACATCGTCCAGGATGGAAAGCAGGCTGATGACATCCATGATTGGACTTACTGGCAGAACGATGCAAGATACAGCACTGAGGGGGTAAGATAATTGGCGAGCACCCATACGATTTCCGCAGCTAACACGAAAGCAGCCAGTGATCATCATCTTCATCGTTCAAGAGGGTGTTACCACAGTCGACACCAAGTACACGGCCCCCTTTCACGACATTGGTCCCCTCGCTACTATTCCTGAGTCAGGCACCTACAAGGATCTGGCAAAGTGGACTGGTATCGCGCTCGAGTCGCCTCCATGCCAGGACTTCGGCTTCAACAACCCTCGCTTTCCCATCTACATAACCTCTTACAACGTCACTGCACAGCGAAAGGCCTGGGACGTTTACTCTTCAGCCATCAAAGGTGCCGACAACCCATACTACAACTCCATTTTCATGTTTGAAAACTACGCCAGTGCTGGTGTTCGCTTCCGCGACAGCGATGCTAGCGCATACGGCTTCCGCGACGCGACCACCCTCGCTGCACCTCTGATCATCTACAACTCTACTGGCAAGGCAGAGGACGAAGCAGTCAAAAAGCTCGGCACTCAGCTTCGTGACATCATTTTGGAGGGAACCGGGTCGCAGGAGCTACACACCTATGTCAACTATGCGTACGGTAGTGAAGGACCTGAGGCCTGGTATGGTCATGAGAGCTGGAGGCAGAAGAAGCTCAAAGCGCTGAAAAAGAAGTATGATCCCAAGGGAAAGTTCAGCTTTTACGCACCCATCGTGTCATAGAGGAGGACTTAATAAAGCGATAATGATACCAAGTTGATCTATCACGTTCATGCTTTTGGTCCAACTGATGACAGCGTCATGCGGCGCAGACTACTATCAACACACAAACCGCATGGACTACAACAAATTGAGAACCCGCTCGATCCTAGATATTCTTTCCAGCTGTTGCGTACCGGTGGCTGCGTAGAACGTGGAGTTAGAGTCTCGACATTCACTTCATTAATGGCAAGACCACTTCGTTATGTAATACTTATTGATGATAGATGCTATCCCGGAACAATCGATTGCCAGCTCATATTTCCTGCGATCCAAGCTATGTAGACTCTATCTCCCTGCAGAAGAATAGATACTCAGCTCATACCCTTTTGCTTATCAGAAACGGGCATGCTTGGATCCCATATATTGAGACTGCTGAACGAACTTCTACTCAGGGCGGCATTGCCATGGATATAGCGTACTTGGAATGTACCCATGTCACACACACGTTGCCTGCAATACGCTCACGCGGTTCCATCATAACCATTTTCCGGAGATCTTCAGTAGAGACTGGAACTACAACTTGTACCTCCAGTCTCTTGAGTCTAGGGAAGTCCTGGAGGCTGAGTTTGGATCTGGTGGTCCATTCCTGCTCCAATAGTTAGTCTTTCAAGGGAGGATGTCCAACTTGGTGACCTGGAACGATAATGATGGACGTGATAGCCCTGCGAAATTCGGGGGGAAACTTGGCAAGCCAGCGGCGAAGACTTCTGACCCCGGATAGGCACCTGAACGAACCGAGTGACCATGGTAAGACTCGGCTCTCACTGTAGATCTAACGACAGACGAGGAGCAGATCCCGGTGGTCGTTCCGATCAGCTTTGGGTATAGGATTGATCGCACGTGCTGTCTTATCGATATTCCATATGTTCCCGCCCAAGATGAAGCTGTATATCCAGTTCCGCACCTCGCCAGGAAGGTCAAGGAAGGGCGAGGTAGCAAGATTGTGCTCGATGCTACGAGAGTTGAGAACATGACCATAGCATTGTGGACGAGAGACTTACATCTTTTGGAGTTCCATCATCTTTAGAATTGGAGAGATATAGCTGGAGCACAGTATTGCAGTTGAAATGACCAGTGATCGGTAGAAGACTTTGTCCACCTTGGTGGAGAGACAGGGAGGTTTTATAGTTGAAGGGAGACCATAAGAAGCAACGATGTACCGACGCCACCATAATGATCGTACTTCACTGGAAAGGTTTGGCTGTCGCTCGATTCTCACTCGACATGTGCGTAGTCCAATTTCACTTTCACAACTGGAATCCTTCCTCTGTCCTCGTCATTACGACTCGAATATCGCCTGTGGCTACGTGGGACTCGAGGGTCTCAAATTTGACCGAGTGGTTTTTGGAACCATAGTCAAAGAATATAGATGACATGATAGATTCCAAGTGTCGCGATGTCCATCTGCGTTACGACCTCCGGATAGCGCTTGAGGTATGTAGTCGATCCAAATCACCTTGTTCTTCTAGATTGACGAGCCAAGAAGGAGAAGTCACTTCTCATTTTCTGATATGATTATACAAAAGTCATCAAAGGTATATATATATATAGTCGTTCCAAGGTAGAGCAGAGAAAAGCTAAGATGAATCGATACTGCATATATACAGTACTCTGCTTGCTACATACAAAGGAATGTAAAGACAATCAACCTGATTGTATATAAGATAGAAGCTGATGGAAACCTACAGTCGTTGGGTTTGCTGAGACGTGCAGCAGATTTGGCGTTGGCGTGGACCGGTCAAACGCCGCTCCCGCCTGGCGGCCGGTCCGACTGAGGTCTCAGCATCCAACACGACAATCCTTTCGTCAACCATGTTGGCAGCATTCCGCCACAACACCTGGTTAGTTCGTCATCGCAACAGAGTATATGACATGTCTCGCTAAGAAAGCAGTTCTGCGATTCTACCTTGCGTTAGACCGACGCCACGATGATAGTGGTCGTCCTAGTCAAGCTCGCGACTGCCGGCGCGGTCTGCCATGGTGTCGCGTCCAGGTACAGGACGGTAGGAGCTCAACAACAGGAGTGTAGAGAAGGTTTTAGTCTTAATGGCAGCGCTCTAGCACTCGAGACGGTAGTTTTAACAATCGAGGGCGAAGTCTGATAGGCCGGCTAGCGGGAAGCGATCAGCAGATCGGGCAGACGCGACCCTGAGAGCGGCCCAGACCATGACCATGGTCAGCGCAATGAAGCGCACACAGGATCACCGGACTCCGTGCGATCTGGCGATATGCACAACCACTCCTGGATGCGCTCCAAGGATCCGTGAGATCAAAAGACGGTAACTGAGACAGTGCAGCCGTGGACAAAGTGCTGAGCGTCATGACGACATCATGAAGCGCGTTGCAGCCCATGCGCGCGTCACCTTCTGGCAACGCCCTCGCGAACAATCGCAAGTAATTGTCGATACCACCAGGATAAGAGATATCACAACGTCCAAGCGACTTGAGCGTCAACAAATCTCGATATCAGCATGCCTTCCTCCGAATTGAAGATCTGCGATGTCAGTCCGACGATCACCACCTTCTCCACGCCATTCAACCGCTTCGCGCCGTTTGGGTACCGCAGATTCGTAGCGGTAGACAATCGAGCCACAGCCATCCTACTACACGACGACAGGATACTTCTTCTCAACCCTATACAACTGGAGGACGCGGTACGCGACAAGCTTAATGGACTGGGCGGCGTCCATCTCATTGCGAGTGACCTGGGCCATCACATGTACGTCTAAGACTACGTCGATGCATGGCCAGAGGCAAAGACTATCGGAGTTCCGGGACTGGATAGCAAGAGAAAGGACGTGAATTGGAATTACATCTGTAAAGACTGGCGGACGAGTCCGGAAGACCAGTTTGACTTTGCACAAGACTTCGAGACTGTGCTTTTCGAGGGCTTCATTACATACTGTGTTGCTTGGTACCATAAGCCAACAAAGACGCTGATACAGTCAGATCTCGTGATGAATCTGCCATTTACAGAGGTGTGTTTGCGCAGTTACCCGGAACAGTGTACTGGCACTGATTTGAAGCCAGCAATATCATCCCAGCTCGTCAGACCAAGGTCCGTTATCTCGCGAGTTTACAAAGCGCGCGCGCCCTCGATCGATATGGGCGAAGCGCCTCGTCTACTACATAGCGACTGTTGACTACACTTTGATGCGACGCGATGCGAAGAAGGTCGCGGAATGGCAGATGGACCGAATCATCCCGTGTCATGGCGACGTTCTCGAGATTGGCGGGAACGAAGCTTGGTCATCGGTGTATGAGTGGTTCTTGAAAGGCACAGCCAAGCCAAGTGTGATAAAGAGGCTCATGAACCCCATCATGAAGGTCGCGCGAAGAGTGTTTCTGATGTAAGGCGCCACCATAACGACCTGACATGACATTCGTCTACCATGCAATGTTGGTCTACTCTGGTCGATTCAGTGACGGACGTGCATGACTTCAAGATGGTCGACGGAAGAGTACATGGAGTCGTATTCAGAGCATCAAGTCTATCAACAAACAATCGACAATATACGTTACTAGTGTTCCTTGAAAGATATCAATCGATATTCTCAAGGACTATAACGTGGTAGCAGTTGATCCTGCTGATGAGCTTTGGTTACATGAATGTGATGTTCGTCCAAGCATCATTTGCGACCAGGCCTTACTTGCTTGATGGTATCGCGGAACCAACGGCTTACCCCACGGCGCTCCACCCTGCTTGTCCCATCCGTTGATGGCGGTTGACTCGATCCATGAGGACTATTGGCGTCTTTCTGTGGTAGATCCGCACGCTCTGATCGCGAATCTTTCGCCGCGGACTGGTGCCTCCTTGTCTCTCGTGTTGTGTCTGCTATCGTGCTCGCTTCATGCAACCCGGGAATGCCATGTCTATATGTTCCTGGTGCGGGAACCCTACGACCTTCGCTTTTCCCGCTATTGTCTTGTCTTGATCTCCGAGATCTTGTGCGCATCAGCAATCCGGGATCGCTTTCTTCCACCATCATGATATCATCATCATCAGTAGCCGATTCGCGCAATTCTTCATACAGGCTTATATCTCTCGGCGCACGCAACGAGGGTGCAGAGTCGTCCCTTCGAATATGAGCCAGATCTTGTGAAAGGCTCGACCGGAGACCTTGTGCAACGTCATCAGTATCTCCCACTTGCTGGATTGACTCTAGGATATTTGACAGTTCGACACATATAACATCGATCTGTCCCCTTTCATCGGGCGCGCATTGTAGCATCTTGTGTTCAATGACATAGAGCAACCCCTTTGTAAACGTAGTCGCATTGCTCAGATTGTCCAACTCTCTCAGTCGCTAGATGGGAATTAGCATGGCTGTCTCTTTTGTTGTCGACGGTCTTACATCTTTTACCACCTGTTTGAGGTGCGGTTTCCTACGCCCATCTTCCGAACTGTGGATATTGAAGAACTTCTCAATTTTCACTCCTTCAAAGGTCGCCAGATCTTCATCTTCTCTCTGGAAGCTGAAAGCCTCAACCTCGTAGTGGCCTTGAAGGTACCAAACAGCAAACTCTAGAAAGACGCAACCCAGAGACCAGATATCGTACTTTTGCGAGATTCTTTCCTCCATGTCTAACTCGGGTGGTCGATAAGCCCAACTACACCCATCGATTTGTGTGCGTGGGACAAAGGTCTTCGAGAACTGTGAATGATAGCGTGTAAGTTCGAGATTGGAAATCACGAGAAGATCGTGATCAGTTTCATATTCTTGAAACCACAGGATATTCTCGGGCTTGATATCCCCATGCCTTCCCCAGTCACGCTCGCCGTAATCAAATGCCTCGAACGAGGATGATCTGCCGATCTTTTGCCACGTAGTAAGCCCATGGATTTCACTCACTGCTCTTGCGAGGCCCAGACATTGTTTTGCCGCCCACGACTCGCCCAGCAGTGTTGCTGGTCTGGTAGGATGTAACTTCCAGAATTCTTCGAGGTTACCGTCTGCCCATTCAAATAGTAGGAAGAACTTATCTCCGTGCTGAAACGTGAGCAAGAGCTTGATAAGGTGCTTTTCTTTGTGCACCTGCGCGCGAGTCTTTTGGAGTGCCGCAAGCTCATCCTCGTACGCCTTGTGATTCGCGGCCTCTATAATTTTCAACGCAAAAACCGGTTGCAACCGAGACTACATGTGTTAGCATTGCTCGAGAAAAAACAGTACAACACGAATACTGACATTAGATACTGGAAAGTTGTGGTGATCTGGGTGAATCTCGACTCTATGTACAACACCAAACCCCCCATTTGTCTTGTGCTGAAATACCATCCAAGGAAGCCTGATATTCGACTGTAACTCGTAAAAACACAATCGGTCGGCACGCATGTCAAAGAAAGGGACAAAGAATATCTTCTGATAAGAGCAGAAGAGATTGATGTCGGGTCTACTCCATGTGTTCATCAGTTTGTCATTATCTGAGGTACGAGTTACGACATATCCCTTGGCGTTCTCTGCTAAGTGCTCAACCGGCAGATCATCGTCCCAGATGTCTTCTCGGATGAAGTCTTCGATGTGCGCAACTTTTGACATGAGGACCAAGACAGCCAACGTCCGGCGCCGACTCCTGCCTGACTTTCGGTTCATAATACTTGCAAACTTGTTTTCCAGTTCTTTATGCGTTGCGAAATGGTAAGTCTGGTCCAAAAGCAACGCGATCGTCCTCGGATTAAAGATACCTTCGAAAGATTGCAACGGTAGAAATTCTTTATGATCATGTTGGCTCCATTCCAACTCGTCCTCGATTTCTTTTTGAAGATTCAAAAGGATATGTGTAGTTCCTGATGTCTTCTGGGATTGGGAAGAGTGACGAGACTTGCGCTTCTCAAACACCGCTTTGAGAGAATCGGATATCTCTGCGTCGTATTCGCCTGGCGTGTTGAAAATTGCTGGAAGATTTGACGCAGCGGCTCCGAAGCCCAGATCCTTCACCATACGAATTGAAGACTCGTCTTCGTCTGAATCGTCATGATTCGAAAAGCCTGACGGTGTCGCAGCGTCCGATGACGCTTTGGAGCTCTCGGCAAAATATTCATGCTTATCAAAATAGTTGTCGCGGTTACTGTGAGAACCTTGGGTTTGCAGGGTTGGCGTGTGTTCAAAGGTTTCCGCGCCGGGATTACATGCGGAAAACCATGTTTCTACCTTTTCGATAGAAGATTTAAAGGTGCCTTGACTGTAGTCAATCTTGTCCGGTGCCCATGGCAGTGATCTCAACGCGAACGAATGGATGTGTTCTGCTACATGGTCAATGAGCTGGTCATTTGACACGACACCTTCTACGCCCGGCGTCCAGCTACACACAGGGCATGATGATAACCCTTCTACTGATTGCTTGGCGCCCATATCAACGAACAAGTCTAACTCATCCCTGGGTATAGAGTCAAGGTGTATGTCGGCCAGATGCTCGACAAGATCTGCCTCACGGGAGAATGTTTCCTCATCACCACAGATCTCGCATCCCCAACCGATGGTCGTTGTGTGTTGACTGAACATGTGTTGCAACCACGCTGTCTTCTGCGCAAAAAGAGTGTCGGGTTGAGGGCAATTTGGCAGAACGCATACGTAAGGGAGAATGTCTTCCCTTATATGATTTCTAGCACGTGTATTAACATTGTGGAATCACCTAAAACTGGTTGAGAATTGAACGTACTTCCAACGCCTAGACTCCGCGAAGACAACAGGAAGAGGAATGCAGCAACATGGACAGTTGAATATGGTTGCCCCTTTCCCAAAAGGAGGTGGTTGCGGATATCGTATACGTGATACTGTAGTGGATACCTCCGTGACTGCTTGCTGAGATGGGGTGGGTGGCCTTGCTACGTCGCCGATCACCTTTGAATCTACGTCAGATGCGGCTGTAGCCGTCATGGCCTTGGCTATCTCATTGGGGGTCGGACGGTTATCACTATGTGCTTGCTGTTTCTTATCTGGGAGGTGAACGTTTGGGTCTAATGGCACGGTCCACTTTGGAGAAGAATTTCCGATGCTGGAACTTCTTTGACTCTTCTCGTTGTTAGGCAGTTGTGACAAAGTCTCTAACTTCCTGCTATGCCTTTGTGAATATGCAAATCGGTGGGAACGCCGGAGGTTCGCCTCAACTAGTCGCCGCTGTACTTGTGTGAATTCACGTTCGTCATACGAAAACGTGATCGCATTTTGGTCGGCACAAGCCCAAGTGGTGCCCCCATCTGCCTTTGAGATACCCAACAGGCCTGGATCCTTTTCTCTCCAGTATTCATGGCGCCTACCCTCTAGCCATGAAGGCTGAGATACTAGGACTTGGTACAGGTGAGCCCGAAGGTCGTTGTGCTTTTCCGCCCTTGGATCAAAAGTTTTGTCGGCTTTGGAGAGACGTGCGGTAGTACCAGCCTTGCGAATCAACACAGCTAGCCTCGCTAGGTCATTCAATACCAAATCTGCATCTTCAATCGCCTCTAGCAAGGTTGAGTCATAGACAGTTAATTCGCTGTCCTGAATCGAGCTTTTCGGTATAAGATTTGGGTCATCCATGCTGGCGTTGTCGGCAAGTTCACTACCACGGTTGAGTTTGTCCCGCTCATCATGAAGAAATCCTAAGCCGCATCAGCGGAGCTCTGTGAAAAAGCACACTTAGAAGCAAAGGTATTACCAAGTTCTATGCAGAGATCGACAGATTGTTCGTAGAGGAGGAGGAGACTCAGGACTGCTGTTCGTATCTGTGGTTTGGGAACCAACCGATTTTCGAGGGAAGCCTGTCCATTTGAGCAGGCTGCGAGACCTGAGTCCCAGATGTTGAAGTCGGCAAGACGGTTTTCTGCCCAGTTGTGATGATTAAGAGCTTCGATCTCCGTGCACCGCTTGAGGTTCTCACGACAGGCTATAGTGGTGCCTGCGATCGTAGTGGCATCTGCGCCCACCTGAGGCTGGGAAGATGCCATACACCCAGCGCGTTGTATGGTCCTGAAGTGCCCAATGATGATGATCAAGATTGAACGATGTCTGAAACCTGCGTGAATTATGTTGGTGTTGCGTACGTAGCGATTCTTAGCCCCCAACAAGCGGGGTATACTTTCAGTCAAGACGCGGGGTATCGCTAGCCTAGCTGAGGGTAGTACCCACACGTTCGTCCAGCTTTGTCAGCGGGGTAACATAGCTTTCTAGGAGTGTCTGTCCACTGAGTTATGTCACTTCAAAAACGATCTAGCTCGTGCTTCGATTCCCTGCTGATCTTGTGTTTTCTCAAGTTTTGTGCTCAGTTTGTCACCTGTCAGCGTGTTCGTAAGTTCGCGAACTTGTTAATCCGGCCGATCTTCTCTCGGACTCTCAGCCTTGTAAGACTGGTAGCAGCTGAACCTGACAAGATTTTGCGATTATGGAAAATTACGAAGGCTGTATCGATGCGGCGTGGCTTCTTGATAGCCTGTTAAAAGTCCTGCCGATCGTTTTGAAAAGTGTTATGCGTCATCGTCACCAGCATAAGCAGGCTAAGTTCTTGGGAAGACTTTTCGCTGACTTGCATCTCCTACGGGAAAGAAATGAGGCCCTTCCACCCGAGGCTGTAATGGAGTTGAAGCTTATGTGCACGGTAATTGCGACCAGACATAATGCGTTAGCCGCTTGCGCTAAAGGTGTTGCAGTGGACAAAGCACCCCATCAATACTTTGGATCGCGCCACGAAGATAACAGACGCGCTTGCTGCAGATGGAGTTACAAACAGTGACTCAGAGGCAGTCAGGATGGTCAGCGAGAGCCTACGTGCCTTTGCCATGGCAACGCCGCAAGAACAAGGGTCATATAAGCAACTTTCAGAGGTCCGAGAAAGAGCTCGCAGAGAGATCTCAGAATTATCTCAAACTAACAGTATGTCCGGACGCAAAATGCATAAGTCAACACCCGAGGATTACCCAGAGTTCGTCAATGTCGAGCTATACGATACTTTGCGCGGATACACTCGATGCCAATGTCAACTATCTGGAGAAGCAGCTGCGATCGAACACGAAGCTAAGTTATGTTTGCGAAGTCAAGTTCACATAAATCAAGACTTAGTAGATTTCGATCTACATTTCTGGAGTTCACCACATTGGGAGCGAACGAATCAAAACTGTCATTGGCAACAGTTGCGTATGCATGTGCCAAGGTGAGGTTATACATTCCATATAGTGTACCCAAGCTGACGGGTATACAGTAAAAAGGCTAGACTCAAAAAGACCCGTTTTCAGGACATAGCATCGGGCAGCACAACTCCCCTCCATATGTTACCCGCGACTTCAATGACTCAAGGAAACCACAGTGCACTACAGATGGATGAATTTTATGTCCCTTCGCATGAGTTCTGTGCCCTGCTCAGCGAAAGTATTGGGCCTGCGAAGATATGTTTGCGACTTCAAGAGAGCTCCTTTCTTCGAATACATGGAGCGATCGATACAGACCAAGAGTTGGCTAATAAGCCCAGCGTATCACTCGCCCAAGTATTGCGTCATCGTAGCTTGACTACGAAGATGAAGATTAGTCTGGCCTACACTTTGGCACGCTCTGTGTGGCAGTATTACAACTCGGATTGGATGGGATCCGGATGGACATCTAACACGATCCACTTCATGTTGGAGACATTCAGTACTTCAAATCACTCTTACATTGACGTCAGCAAGCCATGCTTCACGGTCCAGTTTCAAACTGCTACAGGCATAATACCAGAGTACGATGGCTCGAAGGGTGTCGTTCATCCACATCCGCGTGTGGTAGCCCTTGGCATGCTGTTAGTCCATGTTGCAAACACATCGTATGACGAAGACACTGCCGCAGTCCTGGAAACGCATGCGTGTGAAGCGAACAAAAGATACGCAAAGGGGCGGAGAGCCTTAAGGGATCAGAATTGGCCAGATTTTGGCATCGCTGATGCAGCACGACAACGTCTCCGGACCGATTACAAGACAGCGACAGAGAGCTGTTTTGATCGCATGATCTTTCGGGACATCCAGAGCTCTCAAAGCGGGGCTGACCAAGTAGAGGAGCATCGTAGGATTCTCTATGAAAGAGTTGTCTGTCCACTCGAGGAGATCATCGGAGACATGGGGTGGATGCACTCGCTGGACAAGATTGACGTAATTAAGTTCGGGAAAATGACCAACCGCGACGAAGAATCATATCACCAGCCAAAGTCAGCTCTGCTTAGTTATAACATATCACGGGCCGCGGTACTAGAGAACGGTAGCGTGATCGAGAGCGTGCAGCAGCCCCGACATAGAATCAGTCCACCTTGTTCCAACGCAGCGTTTTTCGATGATGATTTGCCACCTGACGGTCATACCAGTAAACTGTGAGTTTGAAAGAAATCCTGTAACCCTGGGTGACCTTCATTGCAGTATTTTGAGCTTCTAACCTGAACGTCTGTAGTTGTCAAGCATATCAAGACTGGAAAACCGACTTTACCCAAGTGTACGAGCACTTTATCAATGAAGATCAGTCGAGATCGGTGCCGCCGGTTAAGATAGCTATCCTCGATACCGGCTTAGATGTGGACCACGAATGCATCGAAGCACATGCAGAGACCTTGCCAAAACGAGTTTTGGGAAAGAACTGGCTCGAGGAGAAAACCTCAAAACACTTGTTTGACTCCAACGGCCATGGCACACACATTGCAGGAATCATACTCGACCTTGTTCCGCACGCTGAACTCTTGGTGGCAAAAGTGACAGATGGAGTGGTGTTGGACCCAAGAACCTTAGCACAAGTGAGTCGCACCTATTCATAATCTCAGATGAAGAACAAGTACAAATGTAGATGCACAGGCAATCGATCATGCGGTCGATCAGCATGTCGATATTATCACCATCTCTATGGGATTTCCACAAAAGGTTTCTGGATACGACGAACTTGAATTTGCTATAAAAAGAGCACATCTTGCAGATGTACTCATCTTTGCTGCTGCTTCAAATGGAGGTGGCAATAAAGATAGAGCATATCCGGCACGTGACAAACACGTCTTTTGTATCCATGCTACCGACGCATGGGGTAATCGGTCGAGGTTTAGTCCTACGGCTGAGAGAAATACATACAATTTCGCGACTGTCGGCGAAGCTGTTGAGTCGTTCTGGCCCAAGCATCTCTGCAACCCGGATGAGGCTGCAGTCAGGACGAAGTCTGGAACATCTTTCGCAACACCCATTGCAGCTAGTGTTGCGGCCTTTCTGCTACTGTACGCGAGAGTGAATCTCGTAGATGAGCCTGAGATTTCACAACGACTAAAAGGATTTCAGGCTATGGAATTATTACTCTATGAAGTGTGCCAAAGCTCAAGAGCAAAAACGGACCGAGATGGCTATCAATATATCTTCCTCAGCCAGTACCCAGGCACTTTCTTCGGCAGAGATAGAGATAGGGAGGAGATCAATAACAGATTCCGGAGATGTACTTAACCACGGCTCGAGAAACAAACGTCGTAAATATCAATGTACTCTCTGCTAGCCTATGAGGCAAGATGATCATTTTCATTCATCATCCAATACAGGGATACCATATGTGACTACATCGTCATCTTCCTGCACGGCCTCAGCCTTGTAGCCGTGCTGAGACTCGGGAGGTGGCATCTCCACGATCGAAAGCGGACCAGCCACGTCCTTCGTGGGTCTGTCTTCGTACAGCGCACCTTTTGTGTAGTCGCGTTCACGCCTTACTTCGCCTGACTTGCTTACGCGAACTTCACTTACTTTGAATGCAAACACGAAATCAGTACTGCCCTCCCAAGACAAAGCGTTCTTGGTCACTTTCCCACCTCTGACCTCAGGCCCTCCGCCGACAGGCGCCATTCCCCCACTCAGAACCGTTCCATCGACCTGCGCCCCAACGACGCCCTCTACTGCGCGTGAAGAGGTTGTGGCCCCCTGCGCACCGCTCACCACCTTGACACCTGTGATGATGTACACTGGTTTGCGATAACGACACGTTTCCAGGAACAGGCGCACACCGGCATTGTCGATGCAGCGTTTCACGTAATCTTCTGTTGGAATAAAGGTGGTGGTGTCCATGCGATCGAATTTGAAAGCTCTCTCATCACTCATGTGAGTTAGCACGTACGACATGTTCTCGGAGAAGCTGTATCAGCATACCTATTTTTCCAGTCTGCGCCAACATCAACGCCCAAACCCAGCAATCCGCTCAAGAACGTTGTCAAGATGGAGAAACCACCAGATCTCAATCTTTCTTTCGAGACTTCGACCGAAAACTTGCTGGACGGCAGAACATCATCTCCATTGGGTGTGCAGAGGGTCAGCCGGCGCTGCGGCTTCTTGAGCGACGTGATGACGCTTCCCAATGCTATCGGTCCGTTGGGTGGAATATCCCATGTCGAAGGGATGTAGTACTCTGGTGTTGTGTTCGCCATGATGATGTAGAGAGGCAAGGCATGTCAGTCGGGATGTTGGGGTTATTATGTGGGAGGCGGCTGTGCCATGTCCTTGTGTATTGTGGCTGCGGATAGGGAGAGGGGGTCGTACTAGCCAACCAATGCATGACAAGACAGATCAGCAAGTGTGCTAGGCCTATACGACGGTGACGAAGACCAAACTCTAAGAACGACCTGCATATGGCAGTAACAGATCAAAACGTGTCTGGAAGTCTTGGCTTTGCATCTCGAGGCACCTATATTATCGTGAAACATCACAATGGGTGCTTCGGCGCCTGGTTGAGAGTGCGGAGACTCAGGCGGATTGATTGGGCAGCCGCTTTAACCTCAACATTCAACCGCAGCTAGCACAGCCACAACTGGTCAAAGCCTCAGCTGACGACCGATCTCCAAATCACGCATTCAGGCAAACCTTTTGTGTGTCTGCCTACTCTGGGCGCAATACTGACTACACGTCATCCAAAGTCTGGATGCGATTACCTCTCTAAGCGGCTAACGACCTGTGCATCCATACCTTGACTCAATCCGCTCTCGCACCTCTCAAGCCTCGCTTGCTGGACGACAATCATGTCCAAAGTCTATCTAAGATGCGTGCGCCAAGATGGTAGTGTGACGAGCTCTACAGACCATACGAATCGCATCCACCGCCGACTGATGCCTTCATGAGTTCCTACATGAGCAAACACGGTAAGGTTGCATATATCTGTTGCAAAGACAGTCTCAAGGGCCGTGTTGAGCTTTCCTATCATGGGCCCCTAACTCGTGTTTAGTGGGGTGCCGCAAGACACTGGGTCGCAGGCGACATCTCCGTCGTCGACTTCCAAGCCTAGTGCACCGTTAAACGCCACAGGCTGTGGCCATAGCTCGCTCAGGAGATTAGGGAGCTGTGGGAGAACATAGTACAGAGAAACCATTGAGTCGGGTACGACGAATCCCACGCGGCTAGTATACGTCATGACCTGCTTACTAAACACCCGCCAGGGCTGATGCGATCCGCTACTCCCAGCACATGTAGTGTACCCAGGTCGTAAATGACATCGCCACCTCTCGCATCGACCACGTCAACCACTCCAAGCCTCAAGGTGCCTTGATCTTGTTGCCTCAACGTCAGCGCTCCGAGCACGTACCGCAGCTTCTTCCGCGATGGCGGTCTACCGAGGTCTTCCGATCCAAAGCCCTTGGGCTACAGCAATGCGGTCAAACAAAGGCTAGCCCACGACTCGCACGCGTCCATCCAGTGAACAACGAAGCGAGCAGTCGAAGGCTTCCACGACTACCATGATATACCCTTGGGCGGTATGCAAGCGAGTCGCAATCTCCAAACGCCCATGCAAAGGCCCGTGGTATTCGTTCGACTTCGGTCGGTGGGAGAGCTGCGCTGCCTAACGAGTGTCGCATGCAGTTCGCATGACCATAACAGTCAAGGCTACTTCGCAGCTCTCTCATTGTCCTAGAAGCAACAATCGGCTGCCCAGTCCTCATCCGAGACATAATCCAGCCCTTCCCCGGACACAACCGCTAGGCATTCACCAACTATCCTTACGAACCCTACTCATCCTCATCCACTCTACCGCAGAGTGCACCTCCGGCGCAGACCCATACCACGACCACTTCACATCCGCCATTGCCTCCCTCTGCACGACGGTCCTCCGCTCGAGAAACTTAACGAGATAGCTTCTACCAGGGCTAAGCATACTGAAGATCTTGAGCTCGTAGGGAAGAAGAGCTGTCTCTGCGTGGATCTGCCGGCAGACGAAGAGGAGACTCAGATAATTCTGGAGCGTGTGTGGAAAGCGAAGTTCAGAGTGACGAAGCAATTCAATGTCTTGGCCACGGTCCAGGGCGAATGTCCAAATCATGTTGCGGATTTCGGCTGGAAGACGTAGGAGTGGTGAATTGATGATGTTGCACCGAGAGCTGGGATGGCTTGTCAGATTCATCACTTCGACTAGTTCGCAACGAGTTGGTTTTGCTCACATCTCGTCCTGTGTCTTCACCACGTGAGGCGCAAAGCCGGATTCGGTGCTTCTCCGGTTCGACATACTGGAGTCATGAACAGTCGGCGAGATTGAGCGATTGTGGAAGAGCAGTCAAAACTCTTGTGCAGGGGAGTAGCAGAGTTTTATGCTAGGTAGGTGTGCCACACCTACGATAGGGGGTCGTGAAGGTGGCTGATGCCCTTTCTCTACTTCGGGAAGGAAACCCGATGCCGAAGTTTTGCAGCGTGAGACCACCTGGCAATATTACCGGCGATCTTACATCAGTTTCACGTCAATGATCGTTAGTGACAAGGGGATGAAGTTAGCTTATGGATTACGCTGTTGTATAGTCTATTTCATATCTAGAACTCCGTCATGCGCGAAGCACCTTGCCATCGTCGAGAAGTTCTGCACGAATTGACAACATCGGATTTCCCCAAAAGTTCCGTCGCCTGCGCGAAGATCTTCGGAACCTGAGAGACAATGCGGTCTCTCGTGTCTCCTTCAGATGATTGAAGTGTCTTCAAGTGTTGGGAGACGACATTGTGGCAAGTATCCTCCTGTTGCTGACTACCCCCGCCAAAGACAATATAGCGAATGGAGACAAATCCGGGGGTCGCAGGTTCTTGTAGCCTCCATGCTCGATGCAACCTGGAGAACATGGTGACTGCACCGAACGTGCTGTGGCTGTCTTTGACAGGTGTGCGGTGGAGGACAAGGACGTGGAAGGCTTCTCCTCGACTGGGGTCGATGACGATCGCAGAGTCGTTCGCGATGTCGGTCTTGGTGGCATTTCTATGTTTGCCGTTGTATTCGTTGTATGTAGCGTCGATCTTTAACGACTGGCTTGCTGCGATGGCGAACGCAGTGCATAGGCCGACACCTTGGTCCCAGATCCACCTTGGTAGCTCGTCGTTCCATTCAGGCTTTCTATCGCCCAAGAGCTTTCCGTTGCTCTTACTCAACTGTTTTGTAGCCAGATCCCATCTTGTATTTGGATCGGCTTCCTCAAGGAGTCGGTCGCATCGCTGCATGTAATCTTCCCATGCACTTTTGACCGTGGGAAGGTTGGCGGCGAGGATGTATTGGAGGCTTAAAAGATCGGTGTAGTCGGTTTTGGAGTGCAGAAGTGATGGATGGATGCTACGGACGGATCTGACTTTATAGATGTCACGCTAGTGGCCGTGGAAGGCACCGATAACAATACACGACATGGCTCCTTCTCATCAGTCGGAAGCCTCCCAGATCTTTACAGACGCGTCTTTCGCTGTATCGAACTCGTTCACAGTGACGAGTTCTGCGATTTGATAGAAAGTTTCATGGTACTATAGCAGGTGCGATGCGAAAGTGGCTGTCGTTTTGTTTTGCGCTGGTCAACCCGTCGGTGGTTGATGGAGAGCAGGTCTACAATGCTTACAGCTGATATTGCCTCTTGATCAGAAAACTCATAGAAACTAGTAGCATTGTATTCTTCTAGGCTCTCTATCTGTATCTGTATAGCTGCTCATTTGCTGTTTTGTAGTAGGAAGGAGTACTTTTAATAAGGATTTTCATCATATATTCTCTCTGCTTCGCTGCCTTGCAGCTTCTCTCCGATCTCCGCTTTCTCCTTGTCATCTTCATTGTCAGCCGCTGATGCGATTTTTTCCAGTCCGCCATCTTCCACCCAATCATTGTAGGCTTGCAGTTCTCGAACCCTAAGTAAACATGGTACGGGGATCCCTAGTCGTTGGTATGTCGCGGGGTCTTGAGGGTCGCACGAAGGCTGAGGTGGTTGTTGCGGGGATGTCATGCTGGAACGTGTGCGAAGCGTACGTATCAGTGTGTGCGTGTGTGCGTGCGCGTGCGTGCGTATCGTTCTTTGCATGCGCGCTTTCTCGAGTGATGCAGTGTTGTATGTGCCAGAATTAGAAGTAGATTCGCGTAGTCAAGAACTTTCGCGGTGTGGTTCAAGTGCTTCCTTCCCGATACTGAACCGTGGTTCTCCTTGCGCAAGATTTCCCAACCGGACCAAAGACTCAGAACTTCATCACTTCAGTCCAAAGTAGCTACGTCTTACACCTGGTATGTTGGAGTTTCTAGGCTCTACCGACCACCATTAAGCAGTCGTCGATTCCTTTCTGCACTGACAGCTGGCGCAATCACCTAATTCTCAATATTCTGTAACGACATAGTCGCTCCAATATCTACGTTGAATTGTTTTAATCGCTTTCACAAAGACGCTCTCCCGCTAATACCATGTCCCGTTCTCATCACTTATCCTCTTTCCGTGCTAGCAAACGCGTGATGGTCTTTTCAGCCTCTTCCGTGTTATTTTTGTCATTCTCAACTAACCACCTTCCCTCTTCATGTCTCGCTTCAGCAATGCTTTTTCTGGTCTTCACGTGGACTGTCGATCTCAAGCTTCTTGCGATACCTTGGCTTGTATACCCAAGGAGACCGAACATGCCAGCACCGGTCTTTGTGACCATGCTAGACATTCCTTTGCCCACGCCTTTTGCAGCGCCTGTAAAGCCTTCCTCTCGAGCACCTTGGTACGGCTTTACAACAATGTCACTGACACCCTCCATGAAGCCCCACGCGAAGGTCTTGCCTGCAACAGCTGCGCCACTCGTGAAACCTGTCACAGGTCCGTGGTCACGAGGCGTTTCGCCGTAGAGTCGAGGCACATTCTTGAGTCCATCGGTAATCGCGAGAGGAATGTCGACCATCATACCCTTTAGGGCTTTTGGAGCAAACATGCCAATGCTCGCTCCGGACGCGCCTGCCAGTTGACCTGCTGAGATAGCTTTACGTTTCGGAACAACACTGTTTGCTGATGTCTCAGCACTTGCGCTGTCAGACATTGGTGCCGATTGGTCGATATGGTTGGTACCGGTATTGGACGCTGTCGAAGCTTCTAGCTTTGATTCTTCGTATGCGCGTCGGTCGCGATCGTCTCGATACTCTGTTATTGGTTTCGTGAAAACTCCTGTAACGCACGTCGCAAGATCGACTGAAGTGGCAAGCACTGCGGACGCTCCGCCCGAGATGGGATCCCATCGACGAGGCTCTATAGTAATGGGTTTGCTCTCGTATCTGTATACAAATTAGCGATCAGATGCGGAAAATTCTCATCAAGCACGGAAAGATACTAGCGAGGCGTACAATTTTAGGTTTTTGGCATCTTTGGGTAGTTTTCGTGCCATAACCTCTGTCGCCAAGGAAGAAAGCTTCCATTTGTGCCCTTTTCTGTGAAAACCGAAAGCTGCTGGAAGGTGTGGCAGTACATCGCAAGACATGTCCTTGATGGGGAGATTCCGATGGAAAGACATAACTGCAGCTTCGACGCCTCTCTCGGATTGCATCTTCTGTGCAATGACTGCAGCCGCGCTGGCTGCTTCAGGCGACAAACAAAATCTGATCGCTTGGGACAGGCTTTCGGCAGTTATGTCCCGCTGAGGAATAGGCATCGGACCAGCACCAGCACCAGCTACCATCTGGCCCCAAAATGGTTGACTATCGACTTATTAGCATATCCGCCGACTCAACGGAATGGATTTTCTGACTTACTCTCCGAAGAATGGCACGATAGTCGTGGGCTTGCCGTTCAGCAAACCACATGCAGTCGTCCCAGCACCACCATGATGTACCACTGCGGCCACATGTTGAAACAGCCACTCGTGTGGGCAATCACCAATGAAGATGATATCTTCATGAGACTCTCCGTGATCTCCTAACTTTGACCATCCCTTGGACACGATAGCACGAAATCCGTTCGCCCTCACAGCCTCTAATATGACTGCGGTAATTCTTTGAGGGTCTTCAAGAACGATGCTGCCGAAGCCTATGTAGACAGGTGGCGGTCCACTCTCAATAAAGGAACGAATGTCAGGTGGTGGCTCGTACCGAGGAGGATCCCGGAAGAAGAAACCGCAGACGTCTATATGGCCCGGCCAGTCAAAGGGTTTCGGTACAAGAGCCGGAGACCAGCAGTAAGTCATGGGGATGCTTAGTGTATTCGCAAGACTAGGGCCATCGAACATTCCCACCTCCTCCAAGTCTAGCGTCTGGCGCCATTGGTTGATAACATCACCAAGTCTAGATTCCAGGTCAGTATCGTCTAGTTTATGCAACGAGGAATGCTATGTCGACTTTGTATGAACAACTTACCCTTGCCATGTTAGCCAATCAACAACTCCATATGATAGATAATTTGCAGCACTTTGTTTTTCCTCGGCGTTTTTCAGATTCGCTAGTGGGTGTGGAAATGCTCGCGTGCTTGTCCATGGCATAGTGAACATCATGTGAACAGGAACTCCAAGAGCTTGTGCGCAGTGGACATGTGCAAAGCTTGGCGGGTTGGCAATGATAGCATCTGCCACGAATGGCGAATGGCTCATCATGTCTGGTGCGATGCATGACCTCCAGAACCCTTCCAACATCTCCCTGACCATCAACTGTTTCTTCTTGATCTCACCAGCCCGCACGCTCTCGAGACTAGGAATCAGTCCAGGGTTTTTGACCATGTAAGCCATCAACTCTGAAGGGTTACCGCCGATTGGATAGAATTCTAGTCCAGAACCGGAGCCTCGCACAAGGTCTTGGAACATGTCATGGGTCGCTAGCCTCACTCGGTGGCCATACCGTCGAAGCTCGTCACCAAGCGCGATGAAAGGCTGGACATCTCCTCGACTGCCTACAACTTGGATGACAATGTTTAGTTTAACAGGCCACGACTTGTAGCGATCCGGCCCAACTGGGAATTCTGAATACTCTGGTGGCGCATCTTCCGGTATGTCGTTAAGAGCATCACCGTAGAGAAGCGAAAGCGTCCTCACGGCTTTCGAATTCAGATCGATGTTGATGCGCCCATCGCCTAAAAACATGAGTTTTACGACAACTGATGAATCCAGAAATTGTGTGTCTTACTGCTGGTCTTGAGCTTTCCATCATCGGGTACGTCCGCTGATGCGTTGATCGAAGAAGATTCCTGGTAACTGCTGCGATTTATAGGCTTCCGACTTATAGCCTTTCGATCACGATTGATCTCTGTACTTCCATGGCCTGTGGACGTGTGATCTATCGGTATATCGCCGGGTAGCTCGGCGAAATTCGAAAGCCTTTTCTCCGGTTCCATGGTGTCAATGAGGAATATTCAGGTTGTAAGTAAGAAGTAATGATAGTCGATGGCCTGCCGAAAGAAGTGACGAAACATATCAGACGGTTTCTAAAGAAAGCACTAAAGTGTATTATGCGTCTGCGTATGCGTATTTGTTTAGAAGGCATGTGCACTGGCGTTGTCTGGAGCTGAGCACAGCTTTTGCAGGGGTGTGTTGCGTCACCGAGCAGTGACCACCGCCGCTATCCCGGTTTCAGCCAATCAGCACCAGCTTGCCAAAGTCAATTTTGGTTGCCGATGGAAAGCTACCAGGCTTGTTAGTATGGTTGACCATGTACTGGCTGCACAACTCAGCCAACGCTGCTGCCACGTGATGCCAAGAATGGCAAATGCCGGGTATATATGGATCTCATCCTACCTTAGCTCAGGTTGGTTGACCTAACACGTAGGATTATCCCCATACACACCCTACAGTTGCTCGGTGGCTGTGCAACACCACGCACGACCTTGAGAAGATCGCAACTGTCGCCATTCTAGGTACGCTATGTCATCCTAGATACACTATCGTGATCTGGCAAGTGCCGTCGACGAGTATAGTACTATTCTCCGACCTCAAGATAACCCAGCGGATGAGCCATGTCATGGCTGCAGCATGGCAAGACTCGTGTTCCATTCATATATAAATCGTTCAAGCCTTCCGATACAGTAGGCATATAGCACCGAAAGACAAGCAGCCCAAACAATACGAACGACGCGAACCTGGCAAGATGGCTTTCAGCACACATTCCAAAGTTCTCGGTACCATGACAACCACTCTGTTACTCCTTACCGCCGTCAATGCGAGCATCGCGATCCCCAGCACCGGCACTACATCGCTGAGAGAAGAGGCGCATAAGAAGAACATCACGATTGGATCAGGAGCTATCAACCCGACATACCTTGAAGATCCTATCTTCGCAGCTGTCCTCGCTGAGCAATTCAACAGCTTGCATCCTGAGAATGAGATGAAATGGTCTTTCATCAACCCTTCGCCAGGCCATTACAACTGGGATCCCATCGACCGTCTCGTTGACTTCGCCGACGAACATGACATGTTGGTCAAAGGGCACGGACTCATCTCGAGCTGCTGCAATCCTGACTTTGTAGTCAACGCCACCAATCCCAAAGCGTTGCGTGCCGCGATGACGACTCATTTCGAAGCTGTCATGCATCGGTACGAAGGACGAATCGACCGATGGGACGTGGTCACTGAGGCTCTCAAGACTTTGGGTGGAGGCTTGAATGCAAATGACTTCTCCAGGCAACTTGGTCCGGGTTACATCAACGAAGCCTTCCGCATCGCACGGGCTGCATCCCCTGGAGCCAAGCTATACATCAACGAAAACCAAGTAGAAGTGCTTCCCGGCAAGCGTCAAGAGCTTCAAGATCTGGTTTCTGGACTCGTTGCAGACGGTGTTCCAATCGATGGAGTTGCCCTGCAAATGCACATCACCGAAGTGGCTCCGGTACCCGGCGTGATAACCGACATGGTTCGTTTCTACAAAGCGCTCGGGCTGCAAGTCGAAATTGCCGAAATGGACGTGCACACACTCAATAAAACACTCGAGACTCAGATCTATGGTGCCGTCATCAAGGAAGCTTTGGAGGCAGGAATCACCGATATCAACTTCTGGGGCTTTACTGACAAGCATGCTTACACATGGGTGCCAGGCGCAAAGCCGCTCATGTTTGATGAGAACTACAAACCAAAGGGAGCTTTCTATGCGACTCATGGTGCTCTAGAGGAGTTTGTCGACGAATGCTAGCTAGATAATGCGGTATCTCGCTATCTCAGACGTCACGTAGTAACAACGTCGGACAATGTCCCTTAGATGGCGGATTCTCTTTATCATCCCTCATCGGAGTCACTTCCAACTATGTGTAGATATATCACAGTATTTTCCAAGACGCTACGAGGTAGAAATACAATTAAATAACACAGAAAGCTTTGATAATCATAGTGCGTGCCAATGTATAAGTACAACGAGCAGCAAGGGAGTCCGGAAAGCAACGGTGCAAACTATGGATATCTTTCTTGTGGTTGAAACGATTCGATATTGTCTCAAGATATGGTTGTCAGGCCTAGCTGATGATATATACTATCCTGCACCATGATCAGTAGTTCACTGATCATACGTACCTTTTTGGTTGCATAGCGTAGTGGTGCAGGGCTGCGTTCTGACAATGGTCTTCCAGTCGTACATGTACATACCTTAAACCTATGCAACAAAGAGCTATCCTAAAGTCTCTTCGAGGAGCCATCCCACCTATGAACCACACTAAAGCACAAATCTAACGACCATCGGGAAGACCCGCTGCGTATTTCGTACCAAGTGGGGCGATACGCATACGCACACGCATACGCATACGCTCCATGCGCAGTGGGCCCGCTAATGTAGCGACTATCCTTAGCCCGGTCTTCAGCCCGAACCTTATCGCTAAGGCGCCCAGAATTACCCAGACGATGTACTGCGGTTTCGCAAATCTAGCAGAAATTGCCCATGAGCGTATCATATAATACGCATACGCACCGTGGAATACTGTACTAGATGGCTCAGCCTGCAGAACGTGTGTAGATAGGTCTGGGTCCGACGTTACAAATAGGACAGGTTGATTAGGTACTTTGAAATATAGACTTTCAAGAACGTTGTTCGCTTTGCTTTGCTGCACGTTTCTAAACCTTCAACCACCCACTTCTCCTCGTATTATCTTCAATTAGCGATATCATCATGGCAGAAGAGACTGTCGATTTCAAGCTTTACCGCTACAATCCTTCGATGGCGGCGGCCATCATCTTCATCATCCTATTCTTCCTCATCACAGCATTGCACTTTTATCAAATGATGCGAACCCGGACATGGATCTTCGTTCCTTTCGTTATTGGCGGCGTTTGTAAGCTACACCCAATCTCCGTGTTCGCCGTGAAGAGACTGGCTAACAGTTTGTCGCAGTCGAGGTCATTGGGTATATCGGGGTACGTGCGAGAAATCGTGGCCGAAAAAGGACGACAAAACTAACGTGTGTATTTTACAGAGAGCCATTTCCGCCCAAGAGTCGCCCAATTGGTCCGTCGCTGTCTACTCACTCTCCACCATCCTCCTTCTGGTTGCGCCCGCCCTATTCGCGGCAAGCATCTACATGATGCTCGGCCGCATCATCTTGGTGACCGACGGCGAGCCACATTCACTCATACCCAAGAAATGGCTCACAAAGATATTCGTAACGGGGGATGTAATCTCATTCATGATGCAGGGAGCCGGTACGTTATTTTCCAATCTCCAGGGTCTAAATCGACGGCGATGACTGACGCATGGGGACCTAGGTGGGGGTATAATGGCAAGTGGCACCATTGAAGCTGTGCATACGGGAGAGAAGATCATTATTGCTGGCCTAGTAGTGCAGCTTCTCTTTTTTGGCTTCTTTATCGTCACCGGCGTCATCTTCCATGCCCGTATGGTCCAACAGCCAACGTCAAAAGTATATTCCCAGTCGTTGCCATGGGAAAGACAGCTGTATGCACTCTACGTAGCCAGCTTACTTATTCTCGTGCGATGCATCTTCCGACTCATTGAGTATGCCCAGGGTAACGACGGATATCTCATATCCCACGAGGTCTTCCTCTACGTGTTCGACGCTGTGCTCATGTTCGCTACGATGGTTTGGATGGCTTGGGTTCATCCAAGTGAGATCACAGCGCTGCTCAGCAAGGGTCAAGGGAGGGCGGTGCGGCGAGTAATATCGGTTTATTCCCTGCACTGAGCTGAGTTGATTACACCGACGGATTCGTATAGTTATTTTCGACCTGCCTGGTTGCGAAAGTAGATGTTAGACGGCCGGTACAACCGCCTAGAATAGAACCTTTGCGTGGCGCAACCCTTGTATCACCTTAGTCTTGTTTGAAGCGCCTCCTTTCTCATCCCACTGTGAAGTCTGAACCAGTATAGTCACCTATCGCTTCCAAATCATTCCAAGTACGGATGGAGAGTTAGAGTCCTTGATGTAAATGGAGAGTCGATTCTGCGGCGGAGAAAAATTGTTACGCGAGTCTTCCCGGCAGCGAGTCATCAAACTGGAAAGCGCCTCGCCCACCATCTTCAATTTGCCTAGCGACTTCCCTTGGCCACTCGGTCAGCGCAGCCCAACCAGGACCTGCAGCACGTACCGAGATCGCCAGGTCCTCGATGAGGCTAACCCCCGTACGCGCCCCCCACCAAAGATGCCGGATATGGAGTAAAAGCACACCATAATGCATAAAAATGGTAAGAGCCATGATATCGCCGTTTCGGATCAACCTCATGAGCGCCTCCCTGTGTTCCTCTGGCCAAATCATCGCAGGCCAGCCAATGACGCGCCCCAAATGATTCGAGCTCGTCATATGTCCAAAAACGAGTGCAAGACACCGGATTCCTGAGGCATAGACAGCATGGCGCTCTTCGTCGATAAAACTGGAATGTAGAAGGCTATCTGTATGTTGACGAAGCTTGTCTAACGCGGCATTTGTCTCCTCGTCGGGGTCCAAGTCTTCTGGTGAGGGTCGGAAGAATGATCCCAGTTTTCCATTGTTCAGGAGGGTAACAGATTTCGAGTGTATGATGCCTATACCCTGCCCTAGTTCAAGCGTGGTCATCAGGCTCTCGGTATGCGCTGAATTTGCGGAACTCGGATCTGCATTTGGCAAAGCGATGGCCATGACATTGATAAGAATGGAGAAGGCAAAAAGTGCAGTACAGTTTGTTTCGTTAATATCTCCCAGAGTGTCGTTGTACTTTTGCAGACCCTCGTTTTGATATCGTATCGCGAATTCGGTGTATTGCCTACGCGAGTCCGGATTGTAGAATGCGAAATGAAGCGACGCCATTGCCAAGAGCCCATCCATGAGGAAATCATACTGCACAGCCTCTTCTGGGATGGCTTCTGTCCAGGCGACAAGTTCTGCGGCGTCATGTGCTAGGGTTCGACTCGTTCTGTTTATGTAGTAGACCATCAGCTGCAGCTCTTGTCGTCTCGAAACACCAATCGTTGATTGTAATGCTGTATCATGTGCGCGAAGCTTCCCTGCTGGCCATGGTGCCTCTTCAAGCGGGAAGCGGGTTGGGGATCCGGTAGCTTCCGAACTTGAAGCTCTGGAGAGATCATGTCGACTGGGTTTAGCATTTGATCCATACGCGCAATCTACTCGTCGAAAGATGCAATTCTGGCATGTAGGTATTTCTTCTCCGCACTATGTTGACGTGATCAGTAAGCACTGTCGTTGCGCAAGGGCATAGCTTGCTCAAACCTTGATATGTCTTTTCTTGCAAGGCAAGCAACCATTACGTGATTTAGTATGGGGTTTACGAAGTGGCATGGCTGACGCTAGTAGCCGACAAAAGTGAGTGTTAGCCCTCCTCAGTGAACTTCTGGAAGAATGTCTGGCTGATGAACGTTGGTGAAACCTTTCTGGAAGGATGTTCGCATACCCCTGCAAACACCGCCTGGACGCTAGTACTAGTTGCGGCGCCGAGAATAGCATTGATCTGCGCACTCCACGCCAACTACTTCTACATCTCTCCGAAGAAACCGCAACTTGCGATTCATTGCTTTGGACGCAGTTTCGCATAGTTCGGCGATTACCTCCATAATATCCAGCGTGATTGAGACATGGTCGATAACAAATATATTAGGCGATGCTGCGCATAGCCTGGGAGCCACAAGACATGCCTTTATCTATCCCTACCCCTTGAGAGTTTCTCATCAAACATCGTCAACCACTCGCCACCTACCACCCATCAAAGCATTACTCTCCTCACAACTCTCATCCACCAACTTCCTACTCCCTTCCATCCCCACAACCGGCAACTTGACCTCGTACCTCTTCCCTTCCGGTTTGGCCTCTCCCTCAATCTCGAATGGAAAAGGGACATACTCCGGCAATAGCCCCAACTGTTTGAGCGCCGTCGCATGATCCCAGCTGATATGCTCGTGACACAGTCGATCGCCGCGCATGGCAACGACGCTGGTGAAGGGAATGGCGAGAGGCCTGCCGGTCGGAGGGATACCGGGCAGAAACCAGGGAACTTCTTTGGTGTGTGTGAGGGTGAAAATGAATTCGTCAATCACGCGGTCGGTGCCTACGGTGCGTGAGACGAGAGAGAGGGCGGTATCGGGCGGGTTGCTGAAGATAAAGTGGTGAGTGTAAAAGGCTGTGAGTCGCTCTTGGCCCACCCCTCCGCTGCCCAGTTATCAGCATATCGTATTCCGACACGGTGTTGACACTCAATAATGGTGCTGTATGGATACGTACGTCATGGTCGGTATGTGATTGACATACGGCTGGTCCACCATTGTCGCCATTGTTTTCGCGACATCTCTCTCCCCAAACTCGAATTTCGTATGCTCTTCCCACACCGCCTCCAGGTCGAAGAATGGTCCACCAAGCAACGGCTTCAAAAAGGTCAGACTCCTTGTGTGCGCAATACCTGCGCTTCGCTTGTGGTAGCTCTCATCGCTTGGGAGTATCCATCCGGATTCTTTCTTTGCATCTTCGTATCGGTAAGACTTGATAACGTTCTCCGGGGGTGGTGTCGTATCTTCTGAAGATGGTCCTGGGACCAGTGAACATGACTCACGACGACGAGTATCTGGTAGCCCCGCTATGTGTACTAATTGGGGCGGAAGTGGTGTTGAGCCGACGGTGGTGAATTTTCCGCCACCGTAGGAGACAAGAGCTTTGATGTCTGGAGTGCTACCGGCGGCTTCCTCAACGTAATATGGAGTTCTTGATAGGTATGCTGCAGGTTATGGTAAGTTTGTCGTCGAATGATCGTCATTGTTTAGAAAGGACTTGACTAACATATCAGTCCAACACCATTGCTGAATTCGCATCCTTTGCAATTCTTCAACGCTTCTAGGGCTTTTTGAAGAGGAAATTCACCACCGTCTTCAACTTTGCCAGGGACTAGCAGCTACAGGTAATCAGCGTTAGTATCATACATCAACTTGGCCCTCCGCTTCCATCGCAATCGGTCTCAAAACATACCTGCACGACTGCAAACCCCTCCTCGGCCCATTTCTGTAGTGGCGGTGGATCTAAACACCCGTCCTTGGCTTCTCTCGCCGCATAGTGATCCAACACAAGCACCAGTCCAGGTCCTCTTCCGCGTCTAGAAAGAGGTGGCTGGAGCGTAATACTCGGACTTATGGTTCTAGGTAGCGGAGGTGGGGCAAGTTGCGACGATGACGATGGTGGGGTAATTGGCGCTTCACCCATGATTGTCGCAATCTCGAGATTGGCTTTTCTTGATACACTTGTGAAGCTTGCTCGTCCAATGTCCCTTCAGGACTATGTGTCTGAAGGAGTAAGAAAAGCAAAAGTAAGACGATGTATCGAGGTTGAAGAATACAAAAGATCGCACGCCTTCCTAATGAGCAAGATAGAGCGGGTAAAGGTGGGGTAGAAAGATAATCTGAACACCAGTCTCACGACATTCCTTCAACAACAACAACACATGTCAATGCCAGTGTCCTTTTCATCACCTCGCATGCTCACAGCGCTTCAGATATCTTGTTCCTGCACAGCCACGTCGTCCCACCTCTTCCCGCGTGACGCAAATAGCGATAGATTGCAATACACGATGATCTTCGCCGTATGCAGAGTATCTGTACTACCCAAGCCCTCTGTCAGAGCTCGATCTAGCGCCGGAATACATGTCGCATGCTGTCACGAGATGGTGTCGTTACATCAGATAGCGTTATTAACGCGTGCCAAGCAGACTTCGTGTGAGGTACCCGAGGAAGGAGGACAGGACGCGACGCTGAGAGGAGAATTCGAGTTGGCATGCAAGACTTCTGTTCAAAGAAGCATGTGAGCGTCAAGGATGAACCGTTCGCAGTGTTCACCTGGCTATTCTGATGTTATCATTGCCCATGCACCTTCGCCTTACCACCCTTCAGCCCCTCCAAAACCTCCTTAGCTACTTCAATCGCTCCTTCTGGCATCCCCGCGACCCTGGCAACCTTCAACGCGTGGCTCTCTCTGTTAACCCCCCTCCTGAGTTTGTGCACATAAGCCCACCTTCCACTGCCATCCCCATCCTCAACAACATCATTACACCAACAACTCAGATCCTCCCAGCCTTTTCCCTCCGTCATATCCGCCAGTGCGTGAAAATGCGTCGCAAACAACACTCTACTCCTATTCACATTATATAGATGATGGAGACAAGCAAAGCCGACCGCGACGCCATCTTCCGGTGTAGTACCCCGACCTACTTCATCCATTATGACGAAAGATCGAGGCGTAGCTTCCTTCAGTATCTGAGCGGTTTCTAACATCTCGACCATGAATGTCGATTGGTCTTGATAGAGGTTGTCAGCCGAACCCACACGGGAAAAGATCTTATCTACAAGGCCGATCTCCGCGTAAGTCGCTGGCACAAAAGAGCCGGTTTGCGCCAAGATGGATATCAAGGCGTTTTGACGCAGATATGTCGATTTACCAGCCATGTTGGGTCCGGTAATGAGGTGGATACGTGAGCGGGGACCGAGGACGCAGTCGTTGGGTGCGAAATTGCGGCCCTGGGATAAGAGGCTGGCTTCTACGACGGGGTGGCGGCCACCGACGATGTTGTGTGCGGGTTCTGCGCTGAGGATTGGGCGGACAAAGTTCTTCTCCACGGCGAGTATGGCAAAAGCGCATGCTACGTCGAGGTCATCGAGGATGGCGGCATTGCGTCGGAGTTTGACTAGGTTTTTGATGACGTCTTCGCGCAGGGAAGACAGGACGCGTTGTTCTTCTGTTCGAATGCGAAAACGTGTTTCATCCATTTGCGCGCCTAGATTTGTCCATTCCGGGATTTGGAACGAGCGTGTGGATTTACTGGATGATAAACTGCGGGGATAGAAAGCGGTGGTGCGGGCAGTGTCTTTGCCTTTAACGTGAGCGATGTGCGCGAGGTTCGGTGTCCATTTTAGTACGAGGCTGTCTGTTGCCATCCTCTGGCGCATTTCTTGTTCTAGTTTGCTCTTTTCCTTTGCCATTTTATCCAAGCTCTTGTGGAGACGCTCGAGTGTTGGGCTGGCGTTACGTTTCATCATGTGGACGTCTTCTCTGCCGTCTGTTGCGGGCTTGAAGCTCCCAGTGATCATCTTGAGCTTTGGCTGAATGCGCTGTGGCAACTCCTTCAGATCTTCCTCTCCGGCTTCTCGGCCAACCACATCCTGAGCCAGATTTGACATCTCCTCGGCTTCTTCACTTTCCATGCGGTGATACTCAGACAGACCTTCTTCATCGATGGCATCCTGTATGCGGTTCGCGAGCTCGAGTGGTTGTACTAGATCAAATCGACGCTCAAGCATGGATATGCACTCCCTTCTTCGATACTCTGATGCCGCTGATGTGGGATCGACGGGTATGGATATCCTAGATTTCACATGCTCGTGTAGTACGTCCACGATGTAGGCGGTGGTAAGGATAGTTTTTGACAACTCGATCAGATCGTCAGCGTCACCACGACCGTAAGTGAACTTCGTCACTAAGCGCAAAGTGTCAAAGGTCTGTTCTAAGAGCGACCTGATGTCTTGGCGGAGTTGCGGGTACTGTATCATCTCTTCGACGAGATCTAGTCTGTCGTTGATGGTTGATAGTGACATTGATGGTGCAGCTTGGGAATGTTAGTGATACGATATTGTCGATCATGGAGACTGGCTTACACAGGCGCTGCGTAAGCAGTCTTGTGCCACTCTTTGTGACTGTCTTCTTTAGCGCATGCAGCAGGCTTCCTTCGTAGGTGCCTTCCCGAATGGTAGCTCGGATCTCCAGTGCCCTTAGACTGTTCTTGTCGATGCTCATATGCTCTTCGGCTTGATGCCGTACTGGCGCACGAAGTCGACTGCGCGAACCGAGCAGCTGGTGCTTAACGTAATGCAATAGCGACCCTCCCGCAGCGAATTCACTCGGAGTGAAGTCGCCTATTTCATAGTCGTCCACTACATCTTCCAACATAGATCTCCAATCCTTAACGCTAAGTGGCATCTCTAGGGGGTCTTGAAACGTGATGATATGCCCGTCTTCTTGCAAAATAGAAACGATTCGCGAATGTTTCTGCTCTTGGAAGACACTGTCTAGCACAATCTCTCGAGGCTTGATACGGGCTACTGCTGACGGCAACGACGCAATGTCCGTGCTTTGCGTGAGGAAGTCACCGCTTGAAAGATCGATCCAGGCCAGGCCGACCTCCGTGCGCGGAAGGTTGAGAACAGATGGTACGCTGGAGCTGCCAGTACTCTGGTTCACGACCTCCTCTTGTGTGATCACTTCGGGGCTGACATGGATGCTAAGAAGATAGTTGTTCTCCCATGGATCCATAAAATGCTCGTCGATAAGAGTGCCTGGTGTTACGATGCGCGACACTCTACGTGTGTACTGCGATTCGCCTTTTGCTTTTGTTGGTGCATCGTTGAGGAATTCGTCACTGATAGCGACATGCTTGTTGAGATCCTGAACCAGTATCTTCAGATATCTGTCTAGTTGATAGGCAGGGAAACCAGCCTGATGGGTATCAGCATTGTAGGTGGTTTCTGACATGCACTACAAACCATGGAGATTGCAGGCTTCTTGCTTCCCTTGGAAACTCTTCGCTTGGACTTTTTGATGTTCAACAACGGCGCAAATTCGTCTGCATGCTCAAAGTATAGCTATACGATCCCTCAGCACTAATTCGAGGTAATGGCTTGCTTGCGCACCTCGTAAAAGCCGCCTACGCGTGTGACTAGCACACAGTGACTAAACTTGAGCATGTTGTTGCGTACTTGCTGCAACAGCGGCGGATATTCCGGTTCCGCATCATCTTGCGGCGGCAGCGCCTTGGCTTCTAGAGGCCCTTGTTGAAGTTGGTCAAGAGTCACTGCAGACGTCCTCTTCGCGCCGCGGCATTGCGATAGTGTAAGACTTGTTCGACCGATGTCATGTGTGGCACGTGGTTTCGCGATGGGTCGCGTCGAGCTTAGGGACGAGAGGCTTGCAGGTGACAGTGGATTGTAGGCTCTGCTGGTGAAGTGACGTGGGTTGGACCGGCACGCCAAGTCATGACATGTCGAATACCGGACATGTCTAAGAAGCATCCTCGGGGTAAAATTGGCGTTAGAGGGATGTGGGTCAAGCGCGATGGTAGGGGATGCAGGAACGCGTCTCGATGCAGTTAGCGTCGAAGCTGCACGCGCGGGGTATTCGGAACTACAAAGTTACGACGCCGATGACATACATCCAACTTTCATCCACAGCAGAAATGGCTCCCCAATTCGAGCCCATGAAGAATGACCTCATTCTGCGCACAGCAAGAGGTCAAGACCCCATCTCTGCTTGGTCTACAAACAGTCTGAATTGACCCTCTGCAGGCAAAAAAGTCGAGCGCCCGCCGATATGGGTGATGCGACAAGGTAAGCATGCTCTATAACATGTCTGTTACATGCTGACAACGTGCAGCCGGCCGCTACCTCCCCGAGTACCACGAAGCAAAGGGCAAGAATGACTTCTTCGAGTGCTGCCGAAGCCCCGAGATCGCCTCGACCCTCACTCTCCAGCCCATCGAGCGCTACGCCGGCCTCATCGACGCCGCCATCATCTTCTCCGACATCCTCGTAATCCCGCAGGCAATGGGCATGGAAGTCATAATGGTGGATAAAAAGGGCCCGCATTTCCCCGACCCGCTCCAAACGCCGGAGGATAAGCAGTACAAGGAGGTTCTCGAGAGGAAGGTGGATGTAGCGGAGTCGCTCGATTATGTCTACAAGGCGATCACTATGACCAGACAGAAACTGGCAGGCAGGGTGCCGTTGATTGGCTTCTGTGGTGCGCCGTGGACGCTGCTGTGCTACATGGTTGAGGGAGGTGGCAGCAAGATGTTCATTCAGACCAAGACGTGGATCTACAAGTACCCCGAGGAGAGCAAAGCGCTGCTGCAGAAGATTGCTGAACTTTGCGTCGAGTACCTGGCTCTCCAAGTCCAGGCCGGAGCACAGGTATGTTGTCCGAAGCAGGGCCGAAGTGGTGCACTGACACGTGTAGATGATCCAAGTCTTCGATTCCTGGGCGGGTGAGCTGTCGCCGTCATGCTTCAAGACCTTTGCGCTTCCCTACCTGAACTACATCGCCGACAACCTGCCCGCGCGTCTGCAATCAAAGGGCCTCGAGCCTGTTCCCATGACCGTCTTTGCGAAGGGAGCGTGGTATGCGCTGGAGGATCTCTGCAACACCAAATACAACACTATTGGTCTCGACTGGCTACATGCGCCCGCGGAGGCATACAAGGTTGCGCAAGCAAAGGGCAAGGTTCTGCAGGGTAATGCGGACCCGGGCGTTTTGTACGGCAGCAGGGAGTCCATCACAAAGGTTGTGGAGGAGATGGTCGCTGGATTCGGTGGTGGCAAGCAGGGATGGATTGCGAACCTTGGTCATGGTATCACTCCTTTCGTCAAGCCAGACGACCTCAAGTTCTACTTCGAGGAGATTCACAGATTAACCAAGGCTTAATGGTAGGTTGAAGAATTGATGTGGGTCGAAGACTCCAACATACTACATCTCTTGGAGCGCTCCAAACTTACTTTCACCTGGCCAACTGCCACTGATACCCGTTGTTCAGGCACCCGGATCTCTCACATGATTCTGTTGTGTTCTCTTCCTCATCTCTCGGTTGCCTTCACTTGTCGCACGCTAAGTTACTAACCTAGTATATATACGCCATACTTTCCAGGCCTTCCCCAACAATCTCTTACTTACAGCTCACATCAACTGTATTCTATACTCTACATCTTACGAAACATCGAACATGCCTGAACCACGAAGTGCCAACAAGACCGAGGACCCCAGGGTCGAGGCCCGAACAACGAGACCGGAGTCTCCACTCATCGCCAAGTTAGATGACCTGTGCGTTTGAGCTGAACAACTTGTACTAACTAGAGGATCAGTGACCAGCGAATGATCGACATCGCTCAGTGTAATGCTGCATCCTCACCTCTGCTTCGACTTCCTCCCGAAATCCGGAACATGATCTACACTCTTATCATCGACGTGAACATCGTTGTGTTCACAGAGGCAGGATTGGGTCGTGGTAGACACCCCATTCAAGATGGACTCGCTCTCCTCCGCGTTTGTCGTCAGATACATGCGGAAGCCGCTCTTCTTCCATATGCGCTCAACACATTTGTGTTCTGGACTTTCACCTCGGATCTCCAGGCATTTCTTCATGGGCGTAAAAAGGAGCAGATTGCGGCTATGCGGAAAGTGCAATGGGGCTCTGGTGGCCCAACGACTGCGGTTGCATGGATAAAAGTTCTATGGAAGCTTGAGCGAGAGAGTTCGAGGGTACGATGGTAGGTATCCATCGGACGTTCCTGGGTAGGAGGAGATTTGGCGCCGGTTACGCGTTGTAAATGTTAGGGCTTTCGCATCACAGTTCTCCGAGCAAGAATAGGTGTCATTCAGTAGAGCAGTGCTAGATAGGAAGGCTTGATGGAAAGTTCCATCTCACTTTGTTATTGATGCCTTCCACATCCACTAGCGTACTGGGTATATAGCCAACATCATCCGTAGAATCGATCCATCACTCTTATACTCCGACAAGGCTTAGCAGCACATCAAAACACCTTCTTTTTCACCCTTACACTTGGCTACGAGCACATACAGATCCTCACATATTTCCCTTCTCTGCAGTCGATCGACCTTAGTCCGCCACCTAAATCGTTATGTTTCTGTCGACAAACGCACGCCATGACTGCACGATTGTCTTTACCCATTCGAGACCAACTGATGTCCAATGACCAAGTCAAGGCATTCATTGAGAGGACAAATGTGGAAGGCCTTCTTCTGAGTATTTATACTTGTGAGCACGGTGAGGTCAGAACCAAGCTGGGGATAGATGTGGAGTTGTTGGGGCAGCGGGACACTCTCTATACCACTAATTCCCTGTACACATCCATGGAACCGGACCCTACACCCCACGATGGCCTCGACTGGTGCCTAAGGAAACACACAAGTGCCTGGAAGCCTAGCAGGTCCAAAGACGCATCACGATGAATACAGCCACTGAGCATAGCGCTGCAGCATTCAGTAAAGTTGCAGATCAGGAAACAAACGGCCTCCGTCTATACAACGACGACTTTCTCAATAGGCTTCATGCCTTGGCTAAGTTCAAGGATCGCGCACACAAGACGCACCACAGGGGAGAGGAGGCAGAGGCCGTGGACGCAGCAGAGATGGAAACGGCGGAACAGAAGATAGCCACGATAGCTTTAGGGGTAGGGGACGTAGACGGGGCGGCTTCCAGAGTCGTGGACGAGGTCGCGGCAACAGAGGGAGATTTGGCGCCGGTTACACGTTGCAGGAGTCAGCAGTCTCGCATTGCGGCTGTACATTAGTGGCGCTCAGCCTTGCCAACGAACCGAATCTCAGCCTTGCAACTCGGCCACGTCATGTGAACTGCATGTTATGATTCGCTGTACAGCGTCTACCAGGGCGCTTGCGTGCATTATTTCTGACCACTGCGCGTTTCAGGCTGAATCGCGGGCGTGCGTACTGCAAACCGGTTCTTGGCACTGTGTCAACAACGTGGATAAACAGTAGGTACCTGTGCCCTCCGAGCCGTACCCAAGTCTACTCTCTTTGACACTAAGGTAGAATTCTCTTCAAATCCTCCGAAACAACTACATCTTCTCCACTCTCCGTCATGGTAATGGAACGAGTGGATGGCTTTTGCTTTTGGAACATCGATGTTCCACTTCCAACTGCTAACCCCATCCTAGCCTTGCTCACTACATGTCTCGTAATGGTCAATGCCTGGATGGATTTGACATCGCAGGCTCTCAAGCGATTTATATCATGGGTTTTCGATACCATCAACGTTCTCAGTCGTGTGGCCGAGAATGCTGCGGGCCGCCGTGAGCAGCCTCGCGGTTCACGGCCGAGCACTGTTGGTCAACCAACTACTGTATGCTGCGATGGTCCTATGTACTAGCTACAATACTAAAATTCTCAGCGAGTCTTTAATCATGAGCCTCAGCCACTCAACAACACGAAAGCCCAAGTTATCATGCCAGAATCACTCAGCAACACTGGAAAGCCACACTCGTACGTCCTGGTACTGGACTGCTCAAGCAACGCCTTCGAGAGAGGTAGAACTCCTATCATCAACATCGATGCAAGCACGGATTTCGAGCTATTCCAAGCTCTTCGCGTGTGGCAAGGCCTTCAATCGAGGTCTCTGACTGGTGCGATTCGAGCATTCTTTTGGCCAACGTCAGTACGGCTAGAGCTCGAGTTAGTATGTTATGATACCCTTGGATGATGATAACATGGTAGAAGCTGCTTACTTCATGGCAGGTCAAAAGTGACTCTCTTGGTGGGCTGTCAGTCGTTGAGGGAAGCCTCGAGGAACACCCCACCAAGCTCCAATCACAGTGCCTCGATTTTGATCGACGAGTTCCAATCTCGAAGGCTGATCTGAGGGATTTCTATAACGATCCCGAACGCTGTGTAACCAGAAAAAACGCGTTACTAAAGATTATCCCGAGACGTTCATTGCCCTTGGACGGTTCAGAGCTAAGCTGTGAACTAGCCAAGGGGCCGCTTCCCGTATTGATCTTGCGGCGCCCTCTTGACACAACTAGGGTTCTTCTGACCATCATTATACCGATACTAGTGACTTACATAACGATGCTGACGATTCTCTCTATTCCAGATTCCTTTTTCCAAGGAGGAACAATTACCATCGACCCGAGATTCCGTTATGAATTTGCGTTGCACTGGGTGGCCTTGTGCAGGGTGGTCTTGCGCATGCTGTTCCTCGTATTCTCTGTCAGGGGGATGAAAATCCTCCTAGAAGAAAGGCCTTCTTCTTACAAGATGTCGAAAAGTCGGCTTGTCTTAGAATTCGCACCCCTTCTGGTCTTAGGGACGCATTTCGCTATGGAAATTCTCCCGTTTGATATCTTTAACATTCGGTCGTTCACTCGCGCAATGTTGTGTGTTGAGTGTCTAAGGAGTTTTGTCGCCTTCTTGGATTCTCGTTCCAATAACCGACGTCTCAAACATGGTTTTTGTCGCACGATCTTCCAATGTGTAAGAGCCCTAAACCAAATGGTCGACTGAATTGTTCATTGCTAATGACTTCGAAGAGTTGTGGTCACCGCATCGTCACAGAGCGTTCGATATCAGAGACTCAGCAGGCGACGATAAGTGTTCTGTACGAACTGGGTATGCGTGGGCTAGTTGCAGGCTTTACGCCTATCCAACTAAACGAGGAATGGGCAAATGACTTGTCAATAAGCCTGAACACTTCTTATTCACCACAAACAGGGGACTCCTTAGCAGACGAAACTAGTGGCGATATAGCGGATCAATTAACGGGCGCCTTGTCGTGTTTCCAAACCGGAGAGTATATTCAGCGTTCAGTCACAAATCGACGTCGCAAGAGCCATCAAGGAGACGATGTCATTAGGTACATGTACTTCAGCTACCCTTCTCCGGATGGCAGATGTCTGAGTGAATTGACTGTCAGAACGAAGGACGATCGACCTACTGATAGGGTGCTAATCGAGAGCCTCAAGAAGGAGTATAACTCTCTTCGCCCATATTATATGCGCTTGAGAAGCCTTCGCGGCTTCAGCGCGATACGTTTAGCACGGGTATGTGCTACTGTCATATCGTTTCGTGGCGCAAATACTGACATGTGTCAGTTCAAATACTATGTTATGATAGATTCCAAGATACCCAAGGCAGTAGATTGGAAGTGGCCGGATCCAACGAATTGTGATTGGGAATCAACTGGCGGGCTAGACGATCCAATTGATGATCCAGGCCTCTCCCAACTTATGCTTCATCTCTGGATTCAACAGTGTCATACGAACAAGAAAGAAACTACACTGGAGAATGAGAAAGAAGGATGGGTTACTTTGCTCATCATGATATTCAAGGACAAGACACGAACTATACCTCTACACACGTCCGGCGCACCGCCACCGTTGGGTTTACGAGACTGGCCCAGACATATAACACTCTTTCTATCGCACTTGAAAGCACCGAAATCAGGTAAGCGTTTGTATCGACCCATCTCTTCCACTAAGTAATTTCCTTTTCACCAGGCAAAGGTAAGGAGCCCGACGTCAACAAGCCAATGCGCCTTGACATGAAACGCATCAGTATGGAAATCGACTATGACACCCGCCTCGCTGACCCCCATACGATCTACTACCATACGCCCAAAAAGCTCCACACAAGCCTCAAGCCTGATCCCACAGGCAGAAATCCACCTGTCGGATGGGCGATCTGGATCGACGAAGACTTCTCTGTCCCATGGTACATAATCTTAGCACTGATACTCATCATTATCGCCACCTGTGTCTTTGCCTCGTTCTACGGCTGGCCGATTGGGAGCTATATAATCGCGGCCATAGGTCTAATGATGACAGGGTGGGTATTACGGGCCAAAGATTCCAAACACCCGAGATTGTAAGCGCTGTAGCGATGGCTATGAGTGTGTCGCGAAAGCTAAATGGTGTTCCAGGGATTGATGCGCAGGCGAGTTTGGATCCTGAATGAGTGCGTAGTCGCTGGTAACATGTCTGCGAGCAAGTGAATCAGACATTTCGACGCAGCAATTCATGTAGGCTATCCGTCGTTGCGAAGCCGGTCCGGCAAAAATGGAGGCGTGCATGGTTGTGGAAGATGTTCGTGTTCTGCCTCAGGTTTCCAAACGACATGGGGGTGAATGTGCTCAGCCACCTTGAAGGCTCAGCGAACACACACATAGCCCCATCATGAATCTCTATATCTCTTGTCCTCTCCACTTTTTAGCACCTTGTGCAAACAGCCTCTCCAAATCCCAAAATCAGCGACGAACCCAACATGACATCAAAATCGCAACCACAGGAAACTTGCGCTACAACGTAAGTCAATCCACAGCCCCCATCTCTCCCACCCCTACCAACAAAACAACCAAGTCCCACGCCCACCCCACAAGAATCACCACTCCTCCTCCTCCCATCCGAACTCCGCAACCAAATCTTCGCCCTCGTCCTCCAGCAGCACCCCCAAATCGACCTCTTCGTCTCGCCAACAACGGGAGCAAAAGGAAAAACAACAACAACCCTGCGAGCCAGCCACCCCACACGCACCACCTGCATCGGCCTCCTACGTACATGTCGCCAAACGCATGCCGAGACCAGCTTGCTGCTCTACGAACTAAACGTCTTTACCATCCGAGCTACGCACTGCATGCATCTCATTGCATTCCTAGCGCGGCGAACGGCTGCGCAGATCGACGTCATGGCGGAAGTGCAATGGAAGCCGGCTCTAGATGTCACGGGGGTTTATACGTGCTCTGCGACTGAATGGTTGGATATGACTACAAGGGAGATTGACCAGCTGGAACGAACTCGGCGCCAGCGAGAGATTGAGGAGAGGAGGTTGAGCGCAAGGGCAAGAGGGAGGTTGTATGGATATGAGGGAACGTGGCTTAACACAGTTAAAATCACGGGACTATAAGAGAATGGCAGCATGCTTGCAAAAGTAGAAGCCTTTAGACGCTGAATTAAAAAAAAAATAGAGAACGCGACCAGCTGGAATGAGACCGGCGTCAACGACAGCGGTGAGCATTGTTTAGATCGAGTTTGTGCGGCAAGTGAAATGGAGGAGCATCGGTGTGGTTTGCTGGAAAGAGTACCGGGAGCATGTGTCCGGCGGCTAAGTCGATGTAATTTACCAAGGGAGAGTTGCGTCGGCCGCTAGCGTGGTAGTCGATGGCAGGTTATGGTAGCAGTGGTACATACTGTCTAGCTTCGTTGCATCATGGTAGTAACCAGCAGACGAGCGAAGAAAAGTGAAGTCAGGAAAAAGGACGATTTGCAGTGAGCAAAAAAAGCTTAAAAAAGAACATTTTTCATCAAGAAACTACTAAACCCTCATTTACTAACATGCCGTTATTCAGGCTTTCTCCCCTGTCTAAGAAGAACGCCGAATGAACCAGCAAAAACAAGATAGTGATGCCTTGCAGAAAGTAAAAAGAGGAAACTGACTGGAAAAAAGGGAAAAACCCACAGTTCTCGTTGGTATCGCAGAAAAGCTTCGGTCGAGAAGAACCTTCCATCGCAATCAGGAAATGCACAACTCCACCACGCCCAACATTCCCCAGCCCCTAAGTTGTAATAACCTCATGCTCTCATAACATCATGCACACTCTACTCCAGCTATCCCAGCACACACACCTCTTTACTGAGACGCGCACTGCACGCGCTCAGCTCCCGGGTGCATATCATCATCCTCCTCATCCATGCCACCCATTCCCCTTGCCCTCTGGCCCTCACCACCAGCATCCACATCCTCAAGGGTGAAGTCCTCGGTCATAGCATCAGCAGGGGGCATAGCCTCTGGCACCTTCCTTGGCGGCAAGACGCTTTCGAGAGCGCGAATCTGCTCCGGGCTCATGGGGCCACCATCCTCGTTGTTACCGAGGCGGTCCGGGAACTTGACGTCAAATTGAATGTACAAGTTACCAAAGTCGTGGTGGCGGTACGATGGCATACCCTGGCCGCGGATGACCTTGACTTCGCCGGGGGAAATGCATTCACCGGGGATAATGTCGACGGTTAACCAGCGCTCGTCAAGGTGCTCAATGTGGATTTGGCCACCAGCCAGCGCGGTGAGCAGGTCGATTTCAGCGTGGTAGAAGAGATCGTCGTCTTTACGTTGGAACCTGGCGTGGGGTTTCTGCTCAATCTCGAAGACAACATCGCCTGGTTCTACGCCGGGCAGTTGGTCGCCCTCGCCGCGAAACTCGATCTTGTGGCCCGACTTGACACCGCGGTCGACGTGTACGTGCAGGACTTTTCGCTCGATGATCGTCTTCTTGCCGTTGCATTGCTTGCAGCGGTCCTTGTCGCGGATGATTTCTCCTTCGCCCTGGCAATCGGGGCAGACGGTTTGGAAGCGCTGGATCATGGGGCCCATTTGGCGCATCATGTGCTTCATGCCGCGGCCGTCGCAGCCGGCGCACTTCTTAACGGCGCCGTCCTTGCCGCCGACGCCGTGGCACTTGGGGCAAATGACGGATTTTTGAAGTGCGAGCTTGGAGACCTTGCCGCGGTATACATCCTCGAGCGAGACTTTGTGGACATGGCTGATTGTGCGGGCTTTCTTGGGGCCTTGTTCGCGTCCGCCGCCCATGCCGCCGCCGAACATGCCGCCAAAGGGACCGCCGCCGCCGCCGAAGAACTGCGCGAACAGGTCCTCGGCTGCCATACCGCCGCCACCTCCCATGCCGCCTTGCTCAAGGCCTTCCTCGCCATATTGGTCGTATATTTGGCGCTTCTGCGGGTCCGAGAGAACTTCGTATGCGTGAGAGAGGTCCTTGAACTTGTCGGCGGCCTCTGGGTTGTGGGCATTCTTGTCGGGATGCCACTTGAGGGCTCCCTTCTTGTATGCCGTCTTTAGTTGGGACTCGGAGCAGTCTGGTGCTACCTGTTGCTGTTAGACCATGCCCTGTGCGAGATGTGGTGCAGACGAGGCTGGCTTACCCCCAGGGTGTCATAGAACTTTGTGTCTTTGACCATTGTCGCGGTTGGTGAGTGTGTGGTGGTGATGCAGACGAGGGGCTAGCGGGGTCGTAAAAGTCGAGTTGAGGGGCAGGCGGAACGGGTATCAGGTTGGTCTGTGGAGAGGGCGAGTCGCCGTGTCGAGGAGAATCTTTATACTAGTCAGCAACGAGCCTCGGGGCGAGAGTTGTGCAAAGTAGTCGCCCAGCTGCACGTCAGCCTTACAGGTGAAAGAAGGCGCGGCTAACTCGTCGAAGCGACGCGGACAGAGGCAAAAAAGCGCTTACCAAAGAGTCGCCGCGGAAGTCAGTAGCGGGACAGAAGGTGAGGGAAACTGATTACGACTCGAAAGCAGTAACGTGTGTATATTGAATGCGAGCTGGGGGCGACGCTTGTGGACTTAAAAGTAGTAACCGGGATGTTGCAAATGCACCGGCTGCGCCGAGCGAGAGAAGATTCCAAACAATTCCATGCCCTTCCATGGTCCCTCAACAGCCCAAGATTGCCTGGAAGCGGTCGACTGCCTGCCCAAACTACGCAGCTGGCCCCACTGCATCCAAATCCGCACCAGAAACTCGCCATCACGGTGAAAAATGCACTCGAGTCTGCCAAAACATGTGTTTCTAGCTGTGCATTCCTTGGGAAGCTTCGACGAACATGCGCTCGGACTTCTTTTGGCCGGGCCAATCACGTCGAGGGCTATCAATAGGGCTCTTATCGCCGAAGATTGGCGAAGATCCGGTAGCCGGATGCGGACCCTGACTTGCATCGCGCAGTTTCGGCATCAGCCACACGTAGAATTTGATCACTAGTTGAGGCTGGTACAATGTACCTGTTCCTGAGGCAGAAATTCTAGGCAAAAACCGACGATACATCATTGCGCAGCAGCAGCAAAATCTGCCTCACTCACACCGGCATGTGATGCTTGGCACTGGGTGTCAGTGCACATTGATGTCGCTATTGTTGCGCGAAAGAGCCCCGAGATGGAAGAATCATCATTCATCGTATTGCGAGTTACGAAAAGGGAACATTCACATACATGCTCACTCTGCCAATGTGTGCCCTCGTGCCATATTAATGTAAAATGTTCACGTGACAAAGGGAATGAAAATAATTAGCAACATCTGTATGTACTACCAACGAAAACTGATTGATATCAAAAAGACGTGAGATAGTCACGAAATTCAATACACCCGTCTACAGTCGGAGCTGGGTGTTATAAACAAATCCTATGCAGGACTTAGGCTCCAATTTCCAGTATGCTTGAGCTTAGCGCATCGAATTGAGATATTCATCACACCATGTCGTTTTCCATAGGGCACTGTGACACAGACATCTACTGAGCTGTAGAGGTTTGCGGGCCTGGATTGAGCTCATCACCGAGTGGCTCTACTATCACCTCGGACTTCCGGGTCGAAGGGATATGCGAAAGATTGGAAAACCCTTCCGCAAGGTGGATTTTGGTCTCAGCATCAATGCCAATCGATTAGGCAACAATTTCAACAGCGTGAAAAGATGAGTTATAGGCGCTGTGTTATTTGAGATCCCGTCTATTTTGCTATTCAATCATCTCAACGGTTCTAAGCTGTCTCTATGAGACTGCTATCTCTTCGTTTCGCGGAGTTTTCGATGGACTCTCTCTCTACGTTACATGAGCTTTATGAACACGATTCGAGAATGTTTCCCTGTGCATGTAACGGACTTAACGAATAGTTCTTTTTCACCACTAGCAATGAAATATCCCATTGGCCTTCGATCGCAGGCAATACTATCTCATTGTTGATATACTCTACTCACTCTCTACCCTGACCTGCATTGAACTACCGTACCTGCTCCCGTCCCCAATATATCTGTCGCCTACTATCTTCTTGACTCGGTGCTATCAGGAGTGGGAACTGCATCCTAGTCGTTCCAAACGCGACTTTCGACTTTGTCTCTTATCATGTCGTCCCCCTCCACACGAAGAGAAAGGCCAGGTAGCGATCAGAACATCGCTTCTTTTCGCAACCGAGATACTCAAACCGGGCGGACCCAGTATGCCGACTACTGCCTCCAAACGACATGAAGACACGCATATCCTCGATAGACCGCAACTGCTGCTCTGTTCTCGCCTCCAAGAACCTACGAATGGGGCCCCGTGAAACTGAATGATAAGGTGGACAACTTGTACAGCAACAGAGCGCATTCTGTGTGGACCTGACGGGAGACGAGGAGTAGACCCATGTTGCAAGCTGTCAACCTGAAGCCAGAATTGGATATCGCATGGTGGGTGCCGCTGAAGACGTAGTTGTATATGACGTTCCTCAACTCGGCGGGAAGGCGGAGAAAAGGGAAATGAGGAGCTTCTGAACTCTTACTGAATCCAAACTGTCAATTAAGAATTGGGCAAATAAAGAGTCAAGAATCTTACACTCGGGTATGCTTGACCGCGTCTCCAGTTCCAGAGTCTTCGCGCTTCCGTTTGGCCATGTTGACCTTGCGCTTGTTGTGTTCGGAAAATGGGCACAGGGAGTAGTTGAATGAGGGGCAGAGAAGAAGAGTACTGAGAGAAAGAGCAGAGCCAATATACGCATGAATAACTCTTGGCAGCTGCCTAGCCGGGCCGACCGCGACTTTCTCTCACCTTTGGTTTTGAAGCTCACAACGTACATGGAGACGATACTAAGCGCGTGGCAAGAAACAGAGACCACTATTAGCATGGCTACAAGACGAGTTTACATATTGAGAGAAGAGTGTGCATGCTATGAGATGTATTTGAGTCGTCCTCGTAATCAAAGACGCGCGGTCAGCTGTTTTGAAACGCACTGATTGCTGCATACTGGTTCACCATAGATACACTCACTGCCGAGCCCACTACTTGGATAATCGCTTAGAGGAAGGCTCAGCGAGACCCAGCATCTCCATCCAGTACGATCCGTTGCCGGACCTCTTCACCCAGGTGCTTTCCACCCACGACCAGTGGCAAACCCTCAAGTTGGAGAGTGCCTCGATTTGCGTACCAGACCTCTTCAAGAACGACGCGAGGGCCCAGCGAAGGCCGAATCCAAACGACCAGATATAAATGTAGAATATCGTGAGCATGTACGGGAGCAGGGCGGTCTCGTGATGGAGCTGACAAGACACGTATAGTAAGCTGAGATTCGGACTGTCCATTGGTGGCTTCTTCGGGCATTTAGAAATGTTCCGCTCCCTCCCTACAGGCACCTGACCCTTCTTCTGCTGTATCGTGGCTGTTCCGTAGAAGACATAGTGGTAAATCATGTTCCTGATCTCGGCGGGAAGGCGAAGGAAAGGAAAGATACCGGGGCGATAGACGACATGCAATATGACGCTAGGAGATTTTGTTGGTAACAAGAGCGACAACTAGATGATAGACTCTTACAGCAGCTTTTTCTTCTTTGTCTTCTTCACGGCGGACGCACCACCCGAGGGCGACGCAGCGCGCTTCCGACCAGGCATATTGACTTGCTGAAGCTGTTCGGCCAGTAGATGTAGAGTACCGTTGGAGAGAAAAGAAGAGTACGATGAGTGACAGAAGCTGGTCTGTTTATCTAATCACAGCGACGTTCGCTGTTGGTGAAGTATCCGAGTTGAAGGTGACCTTCGAAGAACACTCTCACCTCACTTTCCACTTTCGACCACCGCCCTCTAGAATGCAGGCCGTCCAGATCCATTGCGACGCTGTCCTCCTAGAGACTTACAACGTCTCTCATGGCGCCATCTAGAAGATGCCACTTCTGTTGCCTTACATTACACTGTTACTCTCTTCTTCAAGTTCACTCTATCGATCCGACTAGTCAACTCTGCTATGCGTAAAGTCAGCAGTTCCGGCATCATCCACACGTAGAATTTGATCACTAGTTGAGGCTTGTACAATGTACCTGTTACAGATAGGACCGATTCGCCCTTGTAATTTTAGCCTAGTAGGCGGGACTCGCTTTCGCACTCTTCTCTATCGATCACGCCTAATTAAAGCCGATCGATGCGAATCTAAAAATCCGCAAGATCCAGTCCGACTAGTCCTATCGTCAGTCTCACCCAAAGGCCGTTAGGCTGTCTTCGGAGATTAACAATCCGAGACCAAAACTAGACCAGGCTGCATCACCTATGATGAGTTTATTGAGGAGCGAGTTCAAGTTAGCAAGGTGATATGATCCCCGACGAGGGACCCAAAACGCCAGACTTGTCAACAATCAAGCCAGCTTGATCGCTATCAAGCTGGCGCATCAAGCTGGCTAATCAATCAAGCCAAGCTGGAGTAGAGGTACAAATTAATTAAGCTAAGCTGCTGTAAGCTAGCTTAATTGTTTGGCTTAATTAGCTTAATTAGCTAAGGCCTACGCGTGAGGTTGTTGGGTTTGCCGTAGCAGCAATCACACGATACTTTTTTAGTGTTAAGGTTAGCAACTAATATACAAAAAAAATTCCTAACAACGCTGTATATACATATATATATACAAAAAAACCTCACAATAGAGCTATTACTGCCGCGATTCGAATACAGCAAAAAAAAATCTCCTAATACTACAGTGTGTCGCTGACAGCTGCCTGCTTCGGGCGACCGTAGGCGACACACTGTAGCACTAGCAAGTACAAATACAGTAGCTATTATACACCTCTACTACCGCTTGCTAGGCGTAGTAGAGACGATTGTAGGCCTAATATTACTGTATATATCTATAGT